TCTTTAAGAGTTCCCTCCAAATCATTCCTCATATTTCTTTTGCAACGGTTTTTTTCCATCTTGTTATGATGTATTACATAATGTCCCCAGCCTACAAAAGCAGGTTGTTTACACAAGCCTGGGGTCTTTGTGCAAAGGAAAAGAGGTAGGGTGGACCCTCCTCAACCCTTTCCTTCTCTGCAGGGCTTTGCATTCCTAAGAATGGACCCTCCTCTGCTCGGGGATGTTACCTAAATTATGAAATATAACTCAAAGCAACGGAACTTCCTTCCCAGTCTCTTCTATAAGATTTCTTTTGGCACCAGCTGCTCATTTTAGTATATAAAGTATCAGACTCTTGATGACTTCCCACACTTAGTCACGAGTCACGAAGTACAGAAAACTTTTGGTTTTTAAAAGTGGGTTTATTATGCTAACAGCTGCATGTGGGAATGGAGGCATCCGAAACCCTCCCTCTTTCCTCCCTTCCTGTTCCCCAGTCGTGCCTGGCTCTAGCAAGCCAGGCATGATTGGCAGTTATCTTGATGCCACCTGGTCACTGACTTATCTGACATCTTCCACTAGTTGAAGGCATCTTGTCACTGTAAACACTTGTTTTTCCTATGATAATTATATCATTTTTCCCCTCTTTTGTAGTAGTTCTGGTGAAGAAGGTACAAAGAGGAATAAACAGCAGAACCAAACTGGAACAAAGAGATGAACAGACTTAAGGATCAGAGATTCTTAAGACTACTGTGTGAACTGTTACCTTTAGAGCAGTCATTTAATTTTAGGCCCATTCAGTCTAGAACCTTTATTTTTCTCAATTCAAAACTGATATTATGATTCCTTCCCACCAAAACAACAGGGCTGAGGTTTTCAACAGATTAATACCAGTGTCCCAAGTGGCGTTTACCACGCCTTGTCTCACTTAATCCTCACCACTCCACATCCTAAGGACTATTAAAAAAATGAAGTAGCTCCTACTCACATGGAGTGGGGAAACTTTTTACTTTTTACTTCATACACACCTAAACCATTTGAATTTTTTTTTACACACTATGTTACTTAGACTAAGGACAAACTTGTCACCTTGACCTTCAAGGTATTGACAAATATGGCCCTGGTCTCCTTTTCAATTTTAATCCCCTCCTTACCTCTGTGCACTGTTCTATACCCTCAGCCAGCTATCCCAGAGAACCCTTGTTACCAACGTAACTAATGACACTCGAGCAAGGCCACTCTCCCATACCACGGACGCAGCACTCCTGCTCTCCCTCTCCAGTGAAGGGGGGCACTAATACAGGGTATCAGCTGTGTGTATTCACAAACCAATTTGTGTCAGTGTGCCAATTACTGTAAGTATATAATTTAAAAAAGTATTATACAAAGCAATGAAGTATAAATGAGAGAAAAACAACAGCAGCAGCCAGAATTAATTGAGCACTTAATACCTGCCAAGCACTGTTCTAAGTGCTTTATATGAATTAACTTAGATACTCTTCACAGAAACTGCAGGAACTAGATACTATTATTGTCTCTATTTTAAAAGGAGGAAAGTGAGCAACTTGTCCAAGGTCTACACAACTAGTAAATGGCAAAATAATTTGGTTCCATAGCTTAAGAATGTGGTCGTTGTTTCTATGAAAACCAAGTTGAAAGCTCTGAAAAGACTAGTAAAGATAACATAAACAACCACTCAATTCTACCTTCTATCGGAAAACAACCAAAGATAATGTGTAAAGAAATGAACTTGGTTGTATTCCAATAAAACTTTATTTACAAAAACAGGCAGCAGACCAGGGTAAGACTTGGCCCTTATGCTGTACTTTGCAGATCCCTGAGATCTGCAGTCCAAGGAGAGGATTATGTTGAGAATGGCAAGATGTTTACGTTTTAAGATAAAGTAAAATGTTTAAGGCCTGCCTGTAACCAATATCTGTGTGACTCCCTACTTTAACTTACTTTTTCGGTTAACTACTGATCCTAATTGCATCCAATAAGAGGGCAACTCTTATCACCCTCATCTTCAAAGCCCATTTTCTAACTCCACACCCTCCTCCAAACCAGACATGATTATTTCTTCCGTTTAAATTCTGCAATAATTAACTTCTACTTATGGGACTTACTTTGCTACATATTCTATTATGGCTATTTGTATACTACAATTATTCCCAACTACTGATAACAGCTACTCAACTATTGATAACTCATTTTCTTATTTTAGGCAACACCATAGCAGGTTTTCAGATAATATTTCCTGATTTGTGTCCTAACATTTTTGTTTTCAGTGACTAAACAGAAAGAACACGATACCAACCCCCCAACCTACTATATTCAATTCATATCCCTACCACCACACTTATGATCTAACTTGGTTACAACTTTAAATTATCAATTTTAACATGAATTCACCAGTACAGATTAGTATGGGTGTACCTGTATATGAAAATTGTCATCTCTGTAGCAAAACTGCTGATTTTGAGTAGAATTGTTAAAACTGCTGATTCTTGGTTAACCTTTAGGGGGTCAATACATTTTACAAATACATCTAGAAGCTGTGTAAAACAAAAATGCTTACTTCAAATTTGAGATCAGGGTTGTGCATTACCTCTGCATCCCCAGCAGCACTTAATAGATGTCTGGATCTAATCCATTCCTTTTTACAAAGTGTTTAGGGAGCCTGGCCTAAGCTCAGAGTGAGTTAGAAAGACTTGGGATGGGAATTCAGGTTTCCTGATTCCTACTCCAATATTCTAATTAAGGAAGACATGGCTTTTTAGGAGCACCCAATTCTGCAGTTCAAAGACTGAGGAAGCCTCACCTTCCAAATTTCCTTATACTGCCAATCAGAACCAGCAACTGGGTTCTCACAATAGTGATCTGGGCCGGAGTATTTATGGTGTTCCTATTATTAAAAAGGCTGATCCACATTTTAGGATTACTGCCTATCTCAACAATAGATAGGGGTGTTACTTAAATACCCCAGATAAAAACGCCCTACTCAAGAATGCAAGATAAAACACCCAAGAGATTCTTTATAGTGTTTTTTAAAAGCACTAGATGTTTTGGTGTTAAAATGACAATGACCAGAACTGGGGAGAGGAGTTAAAAAGAGCTATGTTACTTAGGCAGTTCATTCTTTTATTTCCTGAGAACCAAGTTCGCATGCTAAACAGAATTACTGTAAAGGGTCCCTGTTCTAGGGCTTAGATTCCAGATGCGTCACTGCTTTACCACTCTCAGCCTCTGTTGCTTTAACCATCTTAATCTGTAAAATAAACACAGGAAGCAGACAACAGACCTATCCCTCAGTTCAACAGAGGATTACTTCACCAACAAAAATTAGTTACAAACAATATTTCCAGCTATCTTATTCCCCACCCCCCGCAGCTTTAAACGAAAGTCAAATCACCTTCAATTAACACAAGACTGAGCGACCCAGACAGTTCACAGCTAGTACAGCATTTTTATCTTTCTGAAAGCTACCTATAAAAGCCATAGCCATTGCTGGGTGCTCTGGGTCACACGCGGGGAAAACCCAAAGAGAGTAAATAAATAGGGGAACAAGGATGAATTTCATTACTTAACCTAACAAAGAACTGCCCATTATGGGCAAGAAGACATAGTGCTCTGTGACACAAGAGACACCAAGATGAATAAAACAACCCCCTGTTCTGGAGGAGCTTACCATTAAGAAGTTCACAAATTATAATAAAAAGCACAACAAGGGAAGTGCCAAAAGGTTCGAAGTTCTCTGGGAGAGAGATACCAAACATTTCACTTCAATTTCGTGAACTGAATTAACAGATTAAACCATTCGGGTAAGGGGTACCTCTAGTACTCACCTGACTGAGAGAGGCCTGGAGAGAAAGAACTCCAGAGAGATCTATGGAAATGGACACTGCAGTGGGGCATTATTTGCTTATCCACACCTTGGCTGAGCCAGGCCTACGTGGAAATTGTTCTAAGAATTATACCAGGTTAACCAAAGAAATACTTATATAATGTTGATTTAGGTGTGTGGTAGGAAGATTAAGCAAAACCCAGGCCAAGGTTGGGGCTGGAGATTTTCGGCTTCTAAAGTTTCCTTCCTTCCATCACCCAGCCCCAGAATATCCCAGCTCTCCTGCACCTCACCTGCACAGGTGGACTCTAGAGGGGGTACTTTTCTCAAGGTGCAGCCAGTCTAGCAAACCACTCCGTGAGGACACACAGTGCCTGGAGGCTGATAAAGGAACTTGCATCAGCTCAGAGTCTTGAAGCAAGAGACAGGAATACAGCCCGCCTGTCCTTTGCTGTGCGTGACCTCAGACTAATCATGCAAATGCTTAGTTCCTTCTTCTCCTATCTGTAAATTCTGGGATTGTGAGGAGACTGGGATTGAATCCGCTGACCTCTGAGGCCTAAAAGCTTCTTGAGCAGCCGGCACACAGAAGCACTGGACAAACAGCCCGTTGGATAGTGAGGTCGGCCACAGGGGACAGGCGACAGGGGCATCAGACCAGTTTTACACACGGGGAAACTGAGGCACGGAACGTCGTGCCTCAAGGTCACTCCAGCTATGTCACTATTGGGGTCGGACTGAAAGCGCAGGTCTCCAGACCGCCAATCCTGGGCCCTTTCTCCTTTCTCCAAACCGAGAAGAGTGGTGTGGGCAGACCTGCACCCGTAGGGGGAAGAACTGAGCTCGCACCAGGGTTGAGAGAGGGGCGAGGGAGGCCTTACCTTCCCAGATCGAGTCTCGCCACCGGCGTCTCCCTTCCAGAACCTTAACCCGTAAGCCCCTCACGACTCTTTAGAAGCCCCCTCCACTTCTGACCCGCTCGACGTGTCCAACACCGCAACCAAGGCCGCCGATTCGCTGCTGCTCCGCCCCCTGCTTGATTGGCCAATCCCTGAGCACAACTTCGGAGCTCCCGCGGATTTCGCCACCTCTCAGGGCTGGAGAAACTTACGTCACGCGGCGCGCGTGCTCCAGAGGCCCTCCCCTTTACCTTCCCCAAAGTCTGGGTCTCCTCTCCACTAAGAAAACATGCGAGAATGCGCCCTGCCGGAAAGCAGCACGCCGCCACGGCATTTCACGACGTCGGCGGCTAAACGCCCTCGGAACGCTGCGACTCCCTCCCGGTTGCCGGGCGAAAGCAGGCGCGATGCTGGGTGCGGGGGACGAAGAGGACACCGACTTCCTTTCGCCTAGCGGCGGGTGAGTGACTGAGGGGCAGAGGGCGTGGCTGAGGAAGCCGGGCACGTGGTTGGAGGGGTCATTCTCTTATCAGACCTCTAACTAACTTCCGGGTCCAGACCCTTGCCACATTCCCGTACTCTACGTACAGATCTTAGAATCTTGGCAGAGCTCGGAACTGCTGCGTCTGTCCACCTGCTTTTTGGGTCTGACATCTTCCCAGATCACGCAGTATGACCCCGGGTTCGCCTTTTGGTTTTTGGGTCACAGTTTCTCTTGTGCAATGAGGGTGATTGCTGATGTGAATACCTGTCTCAGAGTGTTTCATAGGAGTCACCTAGGGCCAATGTAAGACTTTTTCTCCTGGGGTGGACAAGGCCGTGACACTTAAGAATTGGCCCTGGTGAGTCAGCTCCAGCATCCTTCAAGGCTCATCTCGGATGTCACCTTTTTTGTGCTTTCTCTTCTCCCACAACCCTAGGCAGGAAAAATCGTTTTCTCTTCTTTAGTCCCACAGCTAGGTGTGATTACCTCTGTCCTTGCACACCAAACCTTCTATGAGCGCTGACAGGCAGGACAGAGACCTTTTATGTTAATCTCTGCCCAGCTCTCGGCCTAGTGTCTGACAGATAGTGAGTGCTCAGGAAGTGCCTGTTGATAGAAAAACGGTTGTGAAAGTGCACTCCAAAACTTGAAACCAATCTGGGAGACTGCAGTCGTTATCCCCTGCCTGCCCCCAGTCACTAGCCCAGGGTACAGTTCTCCAAGCGGCGGCTTCTAGTGATCACTTCAGCCATTTCCTTTGTGTTGTGTCAGCAGACAGCTTGACTCCCTTCAAACTTATGAGCTGCCAGGTCCTGACCTTTGCATAGCCTTTCGTCGAACATCTCTGTTTAACAAATTTAAGAAATGTATTGAAGAATGATGAATACACTAACATGTACCCCTCATTTCACTGAGTGCCAAGAGGTTGCAAAGATGCTTAAGCTGCTGTGCGTGCCCTCAGGTTGCTTCCAGTCCTGGTAGAGATTCCATACGTAAAGTGACACTAGCTGTCTTTTAACTTACACCGTGACTAGCTGTATGCTGCCTGTCCTTCAATCCTCTTTTCACTCTTACCTACCCCCACGTTAGTTTTGCAGGCCGGCACTTAACCCACTGAGCCACATCAGCCAGGGCCCCTAACCCCCACTTTAGATGGCCTCTGTCCACTCAATTCCCCTTTGGGCTCTTTCAGTTCCTCAGGTATTTTAGAGTGAAGCTGTGTTTGGATTCATGTTTCCCCTATTCCACCCAACACATTCACCAGAATGTCCACACAGTCCCACTTGCCCCTGTCGACTGTGTAGTATGCTTTTTAAATTAATGGGGTTTTTTTCATACAAACCCATTTTGTTTGTAAATGGCTGTGTCTTGTGAAAGTTTACAAGATATACTTTAAATTCACATTCTTCACTGGGTGGAAGTATTTGGGGAAGTCTGTAAACGAAAGTTAGGGGCTTCCAACTTTCTTGCGACAAGCAGTGCACTGCTGACAGAAAGTTACAGGGTGAAAAATGACGGTCGTGTGCTCTTTTCCAGATTCTTGGCCCGAGATAAGGTCTTGGCACCTCAGCTTTGCCGCTTTCCACAGCAGGCCCAGAGGACCTCAAACACTTTATTTCTAAGTGTGTGACTGTGCTCTTAAACATAGACAACAGCTAATTTAATGGTGAAAGTCTTAAACATAGACAACAGCTAATTTAATGGTGAAAGTCTTAGTAAACAAAGGTATTCAGATACCTTACTTTTGTGCCCAGTAATAACCAGAAAAAACAAATCAGATTTAAGTTGTAGGATATAACATTCTCTGATTCAGCTTTTCCTTCAGCATTTTATCTAAGGAAGTAGAACATATGATAGTAAGCGCTGCAGCTGCTTTTCACTTCCTCTATAACTGTGCTTATTAATTTTTAAGTATCCTGACTTCAGCATATGACTTAGTTGATTCCATTTAGGATATTCCAGCCTACTAGAAAAGGGAGTATTAGTGCCTAGGATGGCTATCTAGATGACTGATAATCTGTGTTCCATGTTTCCAGGCCTCTTAAAATTCTTAAAGTCCATGGTCAACCTAGATGTAGTAATCAGGAAGTGTGTGGTATTTTTGTTTGTTTTTTGGTTTTAGCCCTCTCCCCACCATTGTGACTTTGAAATGAAGAAGTATGTAAATGCCCGCTAAGTATATGGTCCTTGGCTTCAGCTAATACACATAGGAATAAGGCACAGTTTCTGCCCCGAAGAAACGTTCAATTTAGTAGAGTAAAACGAGTCCAGTATTAATAATCACAAAGCATTTTGAAAGGGCCAGTTATGTGTATATTTGTGCTTCAGATTAGCAGAGTAATGATAAATCACCAGTATAAAAGTAGAAAAAGATAAATCTAGTACCAATCATCAAAAAGTATTTTTAAGTTCCATAAAAGACACAGGAAAGCCTAGGTTCTAATGTTGATTCTGCCCCTAGTTAGGAGTGTGACTTTGGGTAAGTCACTTCATTCTCCTCGGCTCTCCAGATCCCAGTCTTTTAAATAATGGGGTTTTCTCTACATGATCTTTGAGACCTTTCCCAGTTCTATAGTTTTGTCTTCTTGTTAATATCAGTTCATAGTTGCAGGTCAGTTTGTGCATCGATTAAGCTTACTTCTCTGCAAGGGTATCTGAGTTGAATTAATATTTTAAGGATGTGTGCACATGTATTTAAAACATATGGTGTACTTAATGCCAGGCACTGCACATCCTTCTAAGTAATACATACACATTATCATATTTACTTCTTCCTACTGCTCTGTGAGGTAGTTTTTACTATTACACCCATTTACAAATGGGAAGTTAAGGGCTGGAGAGGTAAATTGCCCAGTGTCACACAGCTAAAAAGTAAAGGAACCTGAATTTGAAATCAGGCAAGCAGATTGCCAGTGTGCCATTATCATTATTGTAGAAGTAAATGCTTGATGCCACAGTTCATGAAAGAAGTACTTTTACCAACAGAAAGAACCCCTGTTTATTTAAATATACTGTTGTAGCATAAAAACAGTGTTACTGTTTTTGATGAGAAAAGGAGTATAAAACTATACTCCTCTCCCTCTCTTTCTCTTCCCCTCTAAAAATAAATAAAATCTTTAAAAATAAAAATAAAACTAAGGCTGGATAAAGACTTTGGCAACTATAAATGCATTGGCTGACGTTTATTTTAAAATTATAAATTAACCAGTGTTTTGGCAAGAAGGAAGAGCTGCTTTTCACTTCTTTCACCTTGATGGGTTAGGTGTATGGTGACAGTGAATTCTGCCCAACTAGACAAAATAGTAGAACTAAAACTGTTATCCTTAGAAAGCCCTGCTTACAAGGTTGGCACTTGGCTGACATCTGGGAACTTCACTGGTAAACATTTCCCACCTTGATAATAAACTTTCTGTAAATGATAAGATTGGCTCACTTATCTAAACTGTACAAACAAAATGATTCATGAACCTCATGTTTCTTCTGGGATTCTAGAATTTTGGTAACTGCTAGAGGGTTTCTGTTTTTCAGCCCCTAGAGACCCAAAGCCTGGGGAATTAAGTCTCTAATGAGCTTTCCTGGTAGACCACACTTCACACACATTGTCACAGCTCATTGCTGAAGAAATTAAATGTGTTCTATGTCACTCCCCTGGGAGAGGACACTTGGAAGCTTGCTCCTGGTTTCCTCTAGTCTTTGTCCCATGTGCCTTTTCCTTTGCTGATGTTGCTGTGTAGCCTTTCATTGTACTAGATCTTAGCCATGAGTACAACTATATGCCAAGTCTAGGAGCCCTTCTAATAGATCACTGAACCTGGCGTTAGTCTTGGGAACCCCAACACAAAATGTCATTCACCAAGAGAGGAAGCAGACGAATAAGAACAGGTTTTGCTGGGGCAGTGGGGACTGGAAGAGAGGTGTTCTGGTTTGGACCTGTGGCATTTGTGTTGCCTGTGGGATATCTGTGTCGTCTGGTATGCAGGAGCAAATTCTGGGCTGAGGATACAAATTTGAGCATCATCAGCATTTGGTTAGCACTTGATACCAAGGTAAATAAATGAGATGGCCAGGACAGAGAGAGTATAAAATCTTAGGGGCATGAACATTGATAGGTCGAGCAAAGGAGAAAGATTCCAAGGATACAGAGAAATGGGAAGGCATGAAATGGACGTCTTTAACATTTATTGATCTCTTATTTGGGCTTGTCCCTCTTCCCATCCCACAGGTATCCCCACAGAAGTTAAGGGAAGATTTTGTTTGAAGAACAAAATAAGTGTAAAAAGGCAGCATGAAGGCCAACTCAGATAAGGACCGGCAAATTATATTTAGTAACAAAGAGGCTGTTGGTGATCCTTGCAAAAGCAGTTTCATTAGAATATTTGGGGCATAAGCTTCATTGCAAGGGATGATAAAAGAGTGGTTCTGCCTGTTAGGTGAAGTGGTAGACAGGACTGTGTTTGATGGTGTAACTTCATAGTACAGTTTTATTTCAGCTTAATCAACTAGTATAAAGTAGGAAGTGATGACTTGCTAAAGGCAAGAATTTACAGTTTAAGGAGACCATAGAGAGCATCTGGAACAACTGCCTCAATTTACAGATGCAGAAACTGAGGTCCAGAAAGAAATGCCTTGACTAAAGTCTTATGGACAGGTAAGGTCAGCTGATGATGTTCCAATCAAAAATACAATCTTGATTTCAAAGACACTTGTCTTCCACTTCCAGTATTGAATGGTGGGATATACAGTCAAGGAGGTATTTATTCAAGATTGTAGGTGAGCTGCATTTATCATGATACCAGATTTGAGAGATAACAAATGAAACGTTATTTTCATTTTCTACTGACAGTGCCAGATTGGCCTCTCTTTTTGGACTGGATCAGACAGCTGCTGGCCATGGAAATGAATTCTTCCAGTACACAGCCCCAAAACAGCCTAAGAAGGGCCAGGGAACAGCAACAACAGGTAAGTTAAGAGGTTAGGATTAGCCCCTACCTGTGGAGGATACCGGGCCAGCGGTATCCATCGCAGCTGCGGATGCTCGTAGAAACACGAGAAAAACACACACAGGAACAACTGAGTCCTGTGGGGAAATAGGGGCGAAATGGCCACTCTCTCTAGTGGAGAGCACCCCATTCTCCTGCCCGAGCAGGCTTTTATTGGGGTTCCTTTACACAGGAATTCAGGTAAAGCTCATTAATCATTGCCAGGAAGAAAGGATCAAACAATAGATAACAAAGAAGTCTGAGGGCCTATTTTGAGTCAGGGTCAGATAGCTAAAGAGCTGTAAAACTTTGAGGAACAAACTTACTTCTTGTTTGGAACCTTATCACTTAGTTGAGAGCATTCTAAAAGAAGCAGGTTTCACAGGATTTTACATATTCTTTCTTAGGCTTGATTGCCCGGGAACCGCCCTTTCCAGCACAGGGCTGCACCACCCTCTGTCATTGTTTCAGGCTTAGGTGGAGCAAGGGAAGTAAGGCAGCCAAGAGATTAGGAGATTTGCTCACAGACAATGAAGACTCAGGTTTTGTCAAAGCCAAGGGGCAGGAGTCCACCACCCCCTTTTGCTATAGCCCCCCAAGTCCTTCCTTGGGGGCCTCCCATGTGATCATGCCTATCTGAGATCGTTTCCCCCTTGGGGAATCTTACCTGTCATTGGCTAACTGACCAAGCATTGGGGGCCAGGCAGAGTGAAGTAAAGGGAGCAGAAGCCGTGCTCCTACCAGGGAGATAAGCTTTTGTCTCCTTGCTGGCTTACGGTCCAAGGTCGTTCCCTCAGCCTTAGCGGGCGTTACAGCTTCTGATACCAGGCAGGGTGGTTCCAAACACCTACCAAGTTAGTTGAAAGAATAATTAGCCTTCCTACAGAGGTATGCCAGGTTGTTCATCCTTGGTCAGTTTCCCTCTCTAAGTTCTGAGATGCCAGTTCTAGCAGCTAGAAAGTGTGTCTTTTGTTGGAAACTGGTGAAGAAAGGTCACAGGTACGTTCTTCTGCCCATTGTGGACACCACTCTCAAAAACTCCACCAAGGGCCCTCTTAGTAGGTACTGTCCAGTGTTCTGATGAGAAGGAAGAGCTGCTTATTACTTTTTTTACCTTGATGTATGATGACAGCAAATATTTCCTGACTAGGCAGTGACACTCAGTGCTATATCCCTGTACCTTTCATCATGATGGACACAAAAGAAAATTGAGTGAACATTCATTGACTGAAAAGAGAGAAGGGGGACTAATAATACCTGCTATGTGTCCAGTCTCGTGTGCTTTACATAGATTTTCTTATTTAATTCTCACAATTTTGTGTTATAGGTGAGACTACCATCATGTTAGAGTCTCAGAGAAGTTTAGGGACTTGATCAGCATCATGCAGCAGTAAGCAGTAAATAACAGAATCGAAATTTGAACGCTGATCTGATTTACTCCAAAGGTTTTCTTCCCTCCTGTACTTTGCTGTCTTTGTGTGAGAGCCTGAAGAGGAGAGAGGTTCTGATAGAAACAACCCTGAGCTACCAGCACTGAACAGGTGGTGAGGGACATTAAATTAAATATTTGTTGAATGAATATGAAAGTGTTGCATGCCTTTTACACGCTAGGCACAATGCTAGCACTGAAGGTGTTGTTGGGATATTTAGAGTTGAGTAGTTGTAACGGTTACCATATGGCCCATGAAGTCTAAGATATTTACTCTGGCCTTTATTTTTAAATATTTTTAAAATTTACTTTTAGAGAGGGGAAGGGAGGGAAAAAGAAACGTGAATGTGTGGTTGACTCCCGACCACCCCTCACTGGGGGCCTGGCCCACAACCCAGGCATGTGCCCCGACTGGGAATTGAACCAGCAACTCTTTGGTTCACAGACCGGTACTCAATCCACTGAGCCACACTAGTCAGGGCAGGAAACTTTTAAAGTAAAAAAATTAAGAGAAGGTTTCAAAAGAAAGTAACGAACACTGACGATAGCAAAGGTGATCCAACATATGGGTACAAAAAAAATTATATATAATATATATATACACACACACATATAAATGAATATATATTTATATTCATTTCTAAAAAGCATGTAGGGGGAGAAGAACAGACACTAAAAACAAGGAAACTTTGCTAAAAAAAAAAGATTGGAAACTACATACCATTAAAAGAAAGTCCTCATGAGTTGGGAATTCAAAAATCTGTACAATGCTGAATTCATAGAGAAAGAAATGCAAAGCCAATGAGAAGATCATGTGATTGTGAGCATGTGACTCACTTATCCCTCTAGCAAACCCACAAACACCTTCCTGTTCCGTGGCATTCAATAGGGAGATGCGGGTGTGCTGGGAGAAGTTACGCCAACCTCAAGAGGGATGCAAGGCTGACCTCACGGAGACAGTTTTTCTCAGTGTTTCAGACTTGTCCCGGTAACCACATTCTGGCCTTAGTTACCTTACTCTTGTTGTACCCTGCATATCAGGGGGAAAGTTTTATAATATTATAGTATTACTTATAGCTGGAAAGTGCTGAATGAGGTAAAAACTAGTGGTAGGGTTTTACTAAAAAAAATAAGGAAAATGTGAACACCAGCCTAAGAAAATAAGTGAACAATGTCAGTGGACAATTCATCAAAACAGAGCAAATGTTCAGTGTATAAGTTTATAGAAAATGTTAAAATTTCAGCTTCCCTGTAAACAATAAATGCAAATGAAAGTAAGAATGAGATGACTTTCCCCTTTCCCTATTGCCTCCGTCCCACTGGTAAAAATTTTAAAAAGGTAATTTCCTCACATTGACAGGGATGCAAAGCTGGGAGACTCGTACTGCTGGTGGGAGTGTAAAGTGGCATGGCACTTGTCAGGGACATTTAGGCAGGGTGTGACAAACCCTTAAAGTTTTTTATACTCCTTCACCCCCCAGTTCCATTTTTAGAAATTTTTTCTAAGAAAGTAATTAGAGGTACACACAAAGATGTACATTTTAGCAATGCTTACCATAGCATTATTTGTAACACAAAAAAATTGAAGATGGCTCAAAGAAATGTCAAACAATAGGAAATTGGTAGAGTGATAATACAGTATTTTATGTAGCCACTAAAAACATTTTTAGGACTTTTGTCTTTTGTTTTGGACATTTTGAAGAATAAAAGGAAATGCCTATGCTAAGTAAGAAAAGAAGGTTGGCATTATATCATTAATTTTATTTCAGAAAGATGAAGCTGCAGAGTTTACGTGCATAGAAAAAGGAATAGGAGTAAATACATTAAATTATTAACGTTTATTTGGGTGGCAAGATTACAGGTCATTTTTATTTTCTTTATATTTCTATATTTGCTGGGTTTCTACAATGTATATGTACTCTACAATCAGAAAAAAATGTGTCAATAGAAAATTTAGAAAACAAAATTCAACTGGATAAAATTTAAAAGATCTTATTGGCTTTATTCAGCGGTTCTTGAATCAGGCAGCATCCAGTCTGACTGAAAGGAGCTCCGAGGAGCTGCACAAAATGAAAGACTTGTGAGCAGAAGGGAGCAGGAGCAAAGAAGTTACATTAGGCAAAGAAGCGGGCTGGGTATTGCCAGATTACTTTCCCTTAGGGGATGGCAGCGGGTCTGCCAGGCAGGTTGCCTCACTAGTGCTGACCAGGCAATTACTGATTGATTGGGTTAAGCTTCCATTTCTGGGAGGGCCAAACTGCAATTAAATCTTAGCTTGGCGATGTGGAGTTTAGCATAAGTGACTTTATTTGGGGCGTGTTGCCTTGTTTTTATCAATGCAAAATAAAAAATCAAACAAGGATGCTTTTGAAAATAAGTTCTTAGTTGTTATGTCTCACTATTCATGTGGTGAGTGTAAATATGTGACTTATCTAAATATACCCTTATTTCAAAACACTGAATGACTCTTATACCACTGTGAAATGTAAGTAATGGCTGAGACCTGAATATCATACATTTTGTATTACAGAAGTAAGGGAAGGAGAAATCATTTTATTTTCATTTATGATAGCTGTCAAAATATTGGAAGGGGCCCTTGCTGGTATAGCTCAGTGGATTGAACGCGGGCCTGAGAACCAAAGGGTTGCAGGTTCGATTCCCTGTCAGTGCACATGCTTGGGTTGTGGGCTGGGTCCCCAGTGAGGGGTGAGTGGGAAGCAACCACTCATTGATGTTTCTCTCTCTCTCTTTCTCCCTCTCTCTAAAAATAAATAAAATAAAATATATATATATATATATATATATATTGAAGGGGGAAAAGAAAGTAGATAGAATATGACCTCATTTTCTAGATAACGCTTCTTGCCCAGCCCAAACTCTTGTCTGGAGTGAAGTCAGAGTCCTGGGTTCTAGTCTTAGGCTTCCTGCTATCATTGTGTAAAGCACTTGAGTGCTTAGAGCCTCGGTTTTCTTATCCTCACATGAGGTCATGCCACTGTTTTATGGATCAAATGATGATAATGGTCATGAAAACATTTTAACACTAACTATAAGGTATAAAGAAGAATTTTGTAAAGAAGAATTTTGAAGCAGCTTTAACGCTTAAAAAAAAAAACCCAGTTTCAACCAAGAAATGAATGACAATTTTGCTTCCTTCTTCATCTTCAGGAAATCAGGCGACACCGAAAACAGCACCCACCTCAACAGGCACTTCCACAGTGTTGGTTGCAACAGCAGTCCATGCATATAGATAGTAAGTAGCAGGGAAGGAGTGCTTTCTGAAGTGGAGGGGTGGGTTGAGCTCCTGCCTTCTCAGTAAGCCTCTGTTCATTGCAAAACGGCTACTCAGCCTTTCCCTAGAAAAAGTGACAGTAATGCTTTTTAACTTTTGAGTTCTCCAACTTCTCATAAAACTTTGAAGAGCCATTATCTCTTCTCCTCCTTCCCTCTCTTCCTCCCTCTCTCCCCCTTTCTGAAGTGCTTGCACCCTCAACAGCTGCCTTTCCAAGTGCTCAAAGAAAGCTACTCCACTGAGATATGAATAGTAGATATTTAAAGAGTAAAGCAGTTGCATAAGAGCTTTAAATTGTAAACTGCTCATCTCCATTCCTTTCTAGAGGCTGAATGACTGGATTTCCCACTTTTATATTGCAGAAAATAAAGCTGGTTCTGCTTAGTTTAAGGAAGTACTAATACCTATTGCTTTTTTCCTTCTATAGCACAAATGGTCAATATGTAAAGCAGGGCAAATTTGGTGCTGCAGTCCTGGGAAATCACACAGCCAGAGAGGTGAGATTGCCTCACATCTTGTGTACATTCAGGTGCCCCAGGTCATACTGATGAGCTGCTTTTCCTCTGGGCGTGCCCAGTGTCTCATGTTTTAGAGGATTTGAATGATTGTCCTGAGTGTGAATTTTTAATATTAGGTACATTTATAGTCCTTCCCTACTACTGTGCATTTAAACATGTGATATGGACCTAGCTTAAGCATTTGGAGTTTCAGAGTAAACCATTCACCAAGGATGTTCCTTTGTAAGGTAATGAGCTACACTTAGTGTGCTACTTAGAGCAGTATGTCTTTGTGCCTGCATTAACGACCAGTGTTTATCCTTTGGAAATTTGGTAATGAGATGGACAACACAGTAAAATACTGGCTTGGGTCAAAAAGGAGATGTGGCTAGAAGCCCTGAGACTGATTTACTTGTGTGGGTTGTATCTATCTTCAAATTCTGTTCCAGAAGGTTTTGAACATTGTTGAAATGAGCATAAGAAATTATAGAATTTCGGAGGTCCAGAGAGCATGGATTCCATGCTCCTCAGAGACTCTGAGACACAGAGACAGAAAATGACCTGTTCAGGGTAGCTAATGTACCCAACACTCATTTGTGTTAAAAACTTAATTATGGAAATTTAGAAGCATAAGAATAGTAGGACTAGAATAATGAACCCCAGGTACCCATTACTAGGCTCTAACAGTTAAACCAAGCCACCTGAAACCAAGCCAGTCTCCCTTCTTACTCCACTCAGATTGTTTTGAATAAATCTCCAGCATACAGTTTTAGCTATAAGTATCTTGGTATGTATGTCTTAAAGAAAATGATTTTTTAGAAAAAGATTTTATTTATTTACTTTCAGAGAGAGGGGAAGAGAGGGAGAGAGAGAGAGAAACATCAATATGTGAGAGATACATTAATCATTTGCCTCTTGTACGCCCCCTAACAGTGCCTTGGCTGGGAATCAGACCTATGACCTTTGGGTTCACAGACCCAAGCTCAATCCACAGCCACACCAGCCAGGGCTAAAAGAAAAGGATTTTTGAAAATGCAACCATTATTACATTATCATACCTAAAAAAATATCATCTGCAATAATTTTTTTAGATCATTCACTACCAGTTAGTATTCGTATTTCCCTGATTTTTTTTTGAAGTTTGTTTTAAACAGGATCTGATAGGTCCATATATTGCAGTTGGTTACTCTGTCCCTTAAGTCCGTTTCATTTTCCCATCTGGAGATAAATAGTTTGGTTGTTTCTCATGTTAGCAGCCTTCAGTGATGATTATTTAGATCTGTTCATTAGGGGTTGCCATTTGGATCATAAAAATCTGATGTTGGGACTTGACTACCCTTCACTACCAAATGGGGTGTAGTAGGTTGTGGCAGAAAACATTTCTGCTGTAACAATTATTAAAAAGGAGATAAATTGCTGCAAAAATTACACTTTAAAATTCATTGTTGGGCTGTGGAAATGATGAGGACTAGATGAACTAAAATTTCAGAGAGGAAAGAGCCAATGAATTGAGTGTTTCCTTTCCTCGAGACTCTGCTGATACTTAAGTGTAGACTAAACATCAGGTATGGTCCAAGCACTGAGACATCTGGGCACAAGAGGCATTGGCAAAAACTAGAGTTTCTCCAAAAGCAAGACTGGTTTTCTCCCCCTAGGACGTTGCTGAGTGCTGGGATGGAGTCCAGGGGCTGTGCCAGAAAGGCAGAGGGGAAGCTTCTACAGTCTCGTGGTTCATAGGACACAAAGTCCTAGTGTAAGACGGGAACCTATACGAGCATCAAATGACCTTCCTCTCAATACATTTGCTAGATTTTGAACTTCTTAGGGAGGAGGCTAAAGAACTCAGCTCAGAATCTCTGATGGGCAAATGGCAGGACTGAGAAGTCAGAGATATTCCAGGCTCTCAATCAAAAGCCCGGGAAGATAATGCTTGAGAATAGGGACAGCCCAGAAGCGGAGTGGCTCTTAATAAATCTATGATCCTTTCCTGACCAGTTCGATATGTGATTGGATTGCATTGAGGTGATCAGCCCCTCACTCCACCTGCCTAACTTAGGGTAAGGGAAGATCCTTCTGGCGCAAGATTGTGTATATATGAGCCCTCATAGTCTCATCCTCCCCTCTGGGGTTGAATTTTAATCGTTTGTGCAACTGGTTTGTATGTGTGCATATAGTAAATGAAACATAAAAGTTGCCATTTTAACCATATTTTAGTGTATAATTCAGTGGCATTAATTACATTCATAGTATCGAGCAACCATCACCCCCATCCATTTCCACTTTTTCATCACCCCAAACAGAAAATCTGTAATTGTGAATCACTAATTCCCCAACCCTCCTTCCCTTATCCCCTGGGAACCTTAATCTACATCCTGGGTCTATGAATTTTCGTATTCTAGGTATTTCACATAAGTGGAATCATAAAATATTTGTCCTTTTATGACTGGCTTATTACATTTAGCATGTTTTCAAGATTCATACATGTTGTAGTGTGTATCAGAACTTCATTCTTTTTATGGCTAAGTAATATTCCATCTTGTGTATATAGCACATTTTGTTTATCCATTCATTGGTTGATGGACACTTGGTTGTTTCCAGCTGTTGGCAATTATAAATAATAATGTTGTAGTGAACATTGGTATACAAGTACGTGTTTGAGTCCCTGTTTTCTTTTTCTCTTTTTTTGGTGTATACTAGGAGTGAAATTGCTGTCATAAGGTAATCCTATATTTAGCTTTCTGAGGAATTTCCAGACTGTTTCCCCAGCACTCTACCATTTTATATTTTTATAAGCAATATATGTGTTCCAACACGTCAGTATTTTTTTCAGTTATTTTTAATAGCCACTTTAGTTGATGTGAAGTGGTACTTTATTGTGGTTTTAATTTACGTTTCCCCAGTGACTGATGATGCTGAGCGTCTTTTCACGCCCCATTAGCCATTTGTTTGTCTCTTAGTCACCCCTCGCACAAATGAAAACACCAACAAAATAAGGACATTGCTAATTATAGTTAAAGAGTAAAGGCAAAATGAAAAGAGATTAAAATGGGTAGTGAGAAGATATCATTTAAAATCCAAACTGTAAGGGATTAACTGAGTTTTGAGTTTTATGCATGTATGAAACACAACCCCTAACATCTTACTGCTGATTTTTGTATTGTCTTTTAACTTCTTTCTTGTTTTTTTTTCCTGCCCATCTTTGCTTGAGTATAGTATAAGATTCTTCTTTACATCAGTCAACAGCAGCCAGTTACTGTTGCCAGGATTCATCTGAACTTTGAGCTAATGGTAAGACTTCTGTATTATAATCATTAACCCCCTGGGGCTAGGGTTGTAGGGGAGAGTGGTCTGTGCATACCTGGTGGGAATTAGATCGGTTGCTTCAGCCCTGGATGTCAGACTGCAGATCTTAACAGAGCCTCTTGGAAAGGTCTCTTGGCTGCCTTCGGGGACTGTGGACTGAGGGATGATTGATGGAAGGTGAGAGGGAAGAAGAGAGTTCCCTGATATCTTTCTTTGGGTCCACCTTCGTCAGGGCCCTTCTGTATCAGTTTAGGCAGTCATTTATCTGCTCTGCTGCCCATGGTTAAGTTATGCCAGCATTTTTCCTTTCCCTAGGTTCGGCCCAATAACTATAGCACCTTTTATGATGACCAGAGGCAAAACTGGTCCATCATGTTTGAGTCAGAGAAGGCTGCTGTGGAGTTCAATAAACAGGTAAGACCATGGTATCCTTCCTGTGAAAAACCAAACACTAGTCTGGATTTCTTTTGATCTGAGGAAAGTATATGGAACACCCTATCCTGCTACACTTTGCTAGTGGCCAAGCATAAAACACCCACTAAATTTGTCACTTGAGCTTATTGTATTTTAGGGAAATAATAGGAATACTTAATTCAAATTGCTTGAAAATGAGACTTTAAGAGAAAAAAAGGCTAAATGTAAACTTAGTTCTTTAAAACATTTTCCACTTCATAAATTATCTTAAGGAATATATATAACTATTTTTTTAAAAGTTTTAAAGGAATTGTTTAAGGGTTACTACGTGATCATTGTAAAAAGTTTGGGAAAACTTTAAAAAAATCATTCATAATCCTACTACCCTAAATAACTACTACTAACATGTTATTTTTTTGACCCATAATATATATATAGATCCATTCCTTTAAGAGTTCTATATCTTTCTTATTTTATTTAATAATGTATGATATATCTTTTTCTACCTCATGAAAAATTATTTGGAAACATTTTGAAAGCTTAATAATATGAATGGTTCTTAGTTTATTTAGGCATTTCCTTGCTTTTAGCATTTAGAATGTTTTCAGTCTTTTAAATAAGTGATACTGTAGTGAGCATTTAAGTCTTTTTTCCTCCTGATTATTTTCTGAAGCTGAGTTTTTAGCAGTGAAAGATTGTGTCAGAGGGTTCAGATTTTTTTAGATTCCCTGTACACTGTGGCACACTGCTTTGCAGAGAGCGAGCACTGCCTCACATTGCTGTCAGTTCTCTCACTGTACCTGTGCCAACATTTGGAATTATCTTGTTGGGGGTTTTTTAAGTCTTATTTGCCTGATAAAAAAATGACATCTCTAGCCCTGGCTGGCATAGCTCAGTGGATTGAGTGTGGGCTGCAAACCAAAGCATCACAGGTTCAATTCCCAGCCAGGGCACATGCCTGGGTTGCAGGCCACGGCCCCCAGCAACCACACATTGATGTTTCTCTCTCTCTTTCTCCCTCCCTTCCCTCTCTAAAAATAAATAAATAAAATCTTAAAAAAAAATTACATCTCATTGGTTTAGTTGGCCTTTATTTGAGTACAATAATGAAACTTTTTAAAAGAAAATGAGTAGCAGCTTTCTAATGTATACTATGTTAAAACATTAACTAAAATGCTATGCCATAAAAAAAACTATAGAGTAATTATTCATAATGATGTTCCAGACTTCTTTGTGTAAGAAGTGCTAAGATAATATGGCTAAAACTGTGCTAAGATAATATGGCTAAAACTATAGGTAGTACAGATATAAATTAGGGGAATTCAACATGGTTTTGTAAAGGGCCTTTTTTCCCCTAGTTTGTTCTTGTTACCAGACTAAAGGTGCTCATTTGCCTGCACACATCAGAGCCCGATAACACACAAATAGAAGTTTGCAGCAAAGAAAGTAAGGGCTTACTAGTTGAGGAAGTGGTGCCATGCCCTGAGTTGCAGATGAACCAGTGCTCAAAAGACCTGGCTTCCCAACTCCTATGAGGTGGGTTACATAGGGGACTAAGGGAGTTAGGGTTGTGGTCCCTACTGATCGGTCAGTGTTAGAGTAGGAGGCAGCTGATCAGTGCATTTGGTCCTCCTGTCAGCCATGGCGCCACTTCCTCTGGCTGCACTGTTTTTCTGGGTCTGGAGCTGAAACAAAACTGAGGACTAGATACTATCTTTAGTTCGATTTGAAACTCTGTTTGTAGTCAGTAGACTGAGACCTTGTTCCTAAGACTGTTTAATGCTGACCAGAACCTCGTTGTCTTAGGTCAATGATTAAGTGGATGCACAAGGGACAAGGAGGCAGGTGAGTCAGGGTGCTGGATGAGGCCAGTGAGAATCGAAAGGAGAAAAGCTCATATTAAATAAATGAAGTTTCTACATGATTACATTGCCTTTAAAAATGCTTTCTGTATGTTTTTTTTGAGAAACTCTCTGTCTTGCCTAGGTTTCCAGATTCTGCAGCAGTAAATAATCAGAATGGTAATGATAGCTACCATTTAGGTGTGCTTACCATTATTTTCCAGGTACTGTGCCTAGTACTCCACTTGATTTAGTTCAGTCGTTATAACTACATTAGGAGAGATTGCAAAGTTTTACTCCGTTTTACATAAACACCTCTGAAATAAGGTTCACAGAGGTGAAGTTATTTGTCCAAGTCCACATGTTCATAAGTGCCAGTTAATTAACCCAGATGTATACTCAGACAGTCTGACTTCAAAGCCATACTCTTAGACACTGTAATTCCTGGCAAGAATACTGACTTTGGAATGGTTTACTTCTAAACATGTACCGGTAATCTGTTTTGTTAGTGGATGCCACTGTGTGGAAAAGAACATTAGCAAAAAGAGTGCATACTTAACTGAGCTTAAACTAAGTTTATGCTGCTTTGATTTTGTCTCACAGGTGTGCATTGCCAAGTGCAACAGCACCTCTTCCCTGGAGGCAGTGCTCTCACAGGACCTCATTGTAACAGAGGGTCCTGCTGTGGAAGTTGGAGATTCTTTGGAAGTGGCCTATACCAGCTGGCTCTTTCAGAATCATGCCCTGGGCCAGGTAAGAGAATGTACCCTGCAAATTCCTTTGTCATTTGAACAGCATGAGGGTTATTCAGATGTAAGATAGTATTACTGTGAATTGCTGCTGCTGGCAAATAGAGATCTTTTAGGAGCCTGTTCTAATCCCTGCTCTTGCTTTTGGGGCGTAGTCATGAAATGCTAATGTATAAGATCTACTCGGTGCCACTATGACTCTACTTAAAGAAAATGGGAACCAATTTCCCAAGTATTATTTTGGGAATTGTTCACTCGTGTGTCTGTCCTCCTCTGCCAGTTTTAAACTGGAATGTATTCATATGGGAGTAGGTCTTAAAGCTTCTTTAGACCTTCCCGTTGTGTCAGTTTTTCTTATACTAGCTACTATGAATAGGTTGAGCTTTTCGTCTTCCAATACTATTGAGCCCTCAGAATAGTGTGGTATGATAGAAAAAACTTAGGACTGTTAGTTAAAAAAAGTAGATTCAGTCCCAGTTTTATCCTAACTTTAACTTTGTCAAGTCATTTAAACTCTTAAATTTTTCCCCCATTGGTGGATGGAGGTTAGTGGTTAGTGGCAGGATTGGTGTCAGCAATAAATGAGATAATTTATTTGAAAGTTCTTTATAGATGGAAAATGCTTTTAATAGATGAAGTCACTCTTTTTCTAAAACTGGAAAATAAATGCCTCATGGATATTCTGTGTGATAAGACCCTTTAGCCATGATGTGGTCCTGTCTTTTCTGCTCTTAAAAACTGTTTTCCCTGTATATTTGACATTCCCTATTCCAGAAATGCTATGCTAGTATGGAGTAAGTTGCATATTATAATGATTGTTATTATTTTTGAAATTGACCTCATTTATCATTTACTTTGATCAAATTGCAGGTTTTTGATTCCACTGCTAACAAAGATAAGCTGCCTCGCCTGAAATTAGGGTCAGGAAAAGTCATCAAGGTAAAGGCTGAACTGTGTTATTACATGGTTTTGTCAGTTGCAGTAGGCTTAATTTAGATTAAATTTTGTGATATTTCTAACCTGGGTGTCTTCTGAGGGTCTGGAAAGGCTTGATCAAAAGTAAACATTGTCTGCATTTGGGAGATTTTTACCTGTGAGACAATATACAGTAGTCCCCCTTTATCCGTGGGTTTGCTCTCCATGGTTTGTTTCCTGTGGTTAACTGCAGTCTGAAAATGTTAGATGGAAAATTCCACAATAAACAATTCATACGTTTTAAGTTGCTTGCCATTCTGAGAACTGTGATGAAACCTTGCTCTGTCCTGCCGTGGAGGTACGTCAACCCGGCTCCAGCATGTCCGTACCGTGAATACTGCCTGCCCAGTAGTCACTTAGTAGCCATCTCGGTTATCTGTCACCGTATTCCAGTGCTTGTCTTCAAGTAACCTTTATTTACTTAATAATGTCCCCAAAGCCATTTACATAACTTTTATTTTTTTATATTTTGTACTTTTCTAAAGTGTATTTTATTGATAATGCTATTACAATTGTCCCTAACTTCCTCCTGTCTATTTTGTTCCTACCAATTATGCTTCTTAATCCCTGTACCCATTCTCCTCCTTCCTCCTCCCTGCTGATAACCCTCCATGTGATCTCCACATCTATGATTCTGTTCCTGTTCTAGTTGTTTGCTTAGTTTGTTTTTGTTTTTTAGATTCAGTTGTTGATAGTTGTGAGTTTGTTGTCATTTTAACGTTCATAGTTTTGATCTTCTTTCTCTTAAATAAGTCCCTTTAACATTTCATATAAGGGCTTGGTGATGATGAACTCCTTTAGCTTTATCTTGTCTGGGAAGCACTTTTTCTGCCCTTCCATTCTAAATGATAACTTTGTTGGATACAGTAATCGTGGTTGGAGGTCTTTGCTTTTCATGACTTTGAATACTTCTTTCAAGCCCCTTCTTGCCTGTCTGGTTTCTTTTGAGAAATCAGTTGGTAATCTTATGGGAACTCCTTTGTAGGTAACTCTCCGCTTTTCTCTTGCTGCTTTTAAGGTTCTCTCTTTATCTGATCTTGTACTATTTAACCTCCCTAAGCCTCATTTTTCTCCTCTGTAAAATGGGGATAATGCTGCCAACTTACGAGGTTATTCTGGTAAACAACATAATGCAAGAAAGGCACTTGCCAGAGCATTTGAAAAAATATGTTTAATAAATGATAGCTTTTCTTTTTCAATGCCATTCTCCTATTCCTCCCAATTTGTCTCATTGTCTAAAATAAGTATATTTCATCCATCTCCAGATAGCCTGGCTTTTACGAGTAAGTTAGAAGCAGTGTTCTAGATATCCTTTTAACCCATGGGGAGGTGCGGGACTAGTTAAACTTGAGCTCTTTCCAGAGGTCCAAACCTGAAAGTATGAATGAGTGAAACCTGATGATCTGTACCTCATTTTTTTCTTTTGAGGAGGTTTGTGTCTCATGAGCTTTTCCCCTTCTCTGGTTTCTAAAGGGCTGGGAGGATGGAATGCTGGGCATGAGAAAAGGAGGGAAGCGGTTGCTTATCATCCCTCCAGCCTGTGCTGCTGGCTCTGAAGGGGTGATAGGATGGACGCCATCAACAGACTCAGTCCTGGTGTTTGAGGTGGAGATCAGGCGGGTGAGTAAAATTGCCCTGTGCTGTGTCGATGAGTCCTCTTTGCTAGTTAAGTAAAATGAGCCAATATGTTTGAGAACCAGATTCTGGAGACTTTTTTTGATGCCAAGCTTTATATCCTTACTGGCTCTCTATTTAGAGTCTAGGAGAGGTCATTGACTGAGCAAATCTTTTCTCTACACTAACCTTTTTATTTCATCCTTAAAATAGTGATTCCTACCCAATGTGCATACTTTTTGACTTGGTAATTCCATGGCTACAAATTTATCCTATCGATGTATTCTCACAAGTATGTAAAGATATCTATTTATTGACAGATATATAAAAATGGATACATAGTTTCCTCCCTCTGCTACATTGTTTATAACAGTAAAAACTGGAAACAACAAAGTGCCCATTATTAAGAGACTGGTTATAGTTTTTTCACAGAGTGAACTTTTATGTAACTCTTTTTTTTTAACATTTTTTTTATTTTAATCATTGTTCAAGTACAGTTTTCTCCCTTTTACTCCCAATATGTAACTCTTAAAGAATATTCAAAATCTATTGTTAAGGGAAAGAAGAAAGTTGCAAAATAGTATGGGTATATATATATTTACACAGGCATACGTATGTACCTATATGTTTGTATACAAGGATAGGTAAAAGGTTTACACTCATGAGAATGTAAAACAGAGTTAAGCTGTTTTAATAATCATAACCTGTATGTCTTTTTCCATGTGAACATCTGTAAGCCTGTTTTTGTCCACCTTGTATGTTTATAAATACATCTTTGTGTGTATGTATATGTACACACACATATATATATAGGCATATATATACTCATATATCCATAGAGAGTTTCTGGAAGTTTTAAAAGGAATGCTTTTAAAGTGATTTTCTCTGGAAAATGGAAATAGAGCTCAGAAACTTTTTTACATTCTATCCCTTTGTACCATTTAAAATTTTCATTATGAATTTGTTTAATTTTTACAATGAAATTTATAACAAATTGTAGTTAATTAAATTGAAGCTACCCCCCAAGGGGAAAAAAAAGACCCTTGTTGCTTTATACTGTGATTGTTAGGTCCAAATGTTATAATGTCTGTGATCATAAACTATAAAATACAACAAATAAATATTATGGTCATCTTTACTGTGCCCATTATTCCTACTACAACAGGGAAAGGCTATGCTTTCCTTCTAAGGGTCTCTTCCCAAACTGGACGCTGTTATCTCTGCGGGGCCACTTCAGCCTCGCTCACTGGCCTGCCTCCAGCTGCCTTCTCCACGGTTGTTACAGCCTCAATTTTCCTTTGAGTCTGAGGACATTGTGGCTGGTGATGGATAACAGACTAATTTGCATCCATTAAGAATGGCATATGGAAACATAAGAAACAAATTATTTTTTTACCAGTAGCCAAATAACTACAAATTGAAATGCTTATTAAATTGACGAGACTGATGGAGAGCGCTTTGCCCAGGGCAACAAGCGTGTTGAGGAGGACTTACACACGACCTCTACAGTGTGACACAGCTCCCCCTTGCGGGTGTGGAAGTTTAGTGGTATGTGTCAGGAGTCTTAAAAGTGAGCATACCTTTTATCCAGCAGTTTAACATCTGGGAAGTTCTGCTTTGGGAATATCTAAGGTTTTATGCAAAGATACAGATATAAAGCTATTCGTAGAAGTATTGTTTGTGATAGAGAGAATTAGAAATAACTTGAATGTACAACGGGTAGGAATTGGTGAAATATATTTTGCAATAGCATTGATATTTATGACTCCTGTTCCCACAATTCTTTGGAGATTTTTTTTTTGGTTGATAATAGAAGTTAAGGACATGACCCTCGAAGTTAGACATACTCTTTGGTAGTTAAATGTGATGTTGTAGATCATTAATTTAGTAATGTGGAAATATGTTAATATATCACTGAGTGAGCATAGTGGATTGCAAAACACCGTGGCTCCATTTTTGTAAAAACACATGAAATGAATGTGGAATACTACATCCAAAATCCTACAGTGTTATTGCTTAGTGGTTGGATTGCAGGTGATTCTTACCTTTTTTTTTTTTTTACTTATCTGCATTTTCTGATTTGCCACAATGAACAGATAATGACTTGTATAATGAAGAATAAGTAAAGTGCAAGGAGGATGGAGGGGGAAGAGAGCCTTTCTGGCGACCCGTTTCAGCTGTGCATTCTTTCCCCAGGTGAAGTTTGCCAGAGATTCCGGCTCTGACGGGCACAGCGTGAGCTCCCGGGACTCTGCGGCCCCTTCTCCCGTACCTGGTGCTGATGGCCCGCCTGCTGATCCCGCCGTGTCAGTGCCCATGTCGGTGCCTTTCAAGTCAGGGTAAGACACTAGAGTTGTGTCAAGCCCTATTATTGTCCATAAAAATTACTGAGAGGGGTTCAGAAATAGGGGTATAGCTGCAAACTAAAAAATTTCTAAATGTTAAAAATGGGATGAGGAAAATGGGAAAAACACATCAGATTTTTCTGACAAAGGATGAATATTCATAGCCTGTTAAAGCACTAACTCAGATATTTAAGAATGCCTGTCAAATCCTGGAATAAAATTGGGCAAAAGGCATAGTCACAAAATACATACCCAAGGGAAAGAATGTAAATAGTAAGCATTTAGATGGAAAATTGTTCACCTTCACCAGCTTTCAGAGAGTAAGCAAACTCAGGAGTTAAAATTCTGTTTCACTATTGAATTGGCAAACGTCTGGAGGGACGGTTTGCACACCCAGTGCAGTCTGGACTGGCGGTCGTGGAGTTGGTTCTCATCTCAGGACATGTCTGCTCGCTTGCAGGGAGCCGGCCCTTCGCGCCAAATCCGACTCCCTCAGCGAGCAGCTCGCCGTCAACACAGTGAGTATACGGGTCTGTCTCCCTCTCCCCATTTTCATGTGGAGGGTGGAGATTTTTTAAAACTTTTGAGAACTGAAGATTTAGCTAGAAATTGATGATTACTTTATTCATATTACTTGGGAGTCAGTATAAATTTGCCTGGGCTTCTGCATAGATAGGCCTGGATTCCAATCTCTGTTCTTGTAGTCTTTGGTCCTCAGCTTCTTTATTACTAAAATGGAAGCGATTCTCATAGCCCCTTTGTAAGGTTCTTATGTGGACTGGAGATGTGTGTGTAACACACTGAGCTCGGAGCCTGCTTACGGTGTGTTTCCAGTAATCCCTCAGGAGACTGGTATGAGGTTCGAATGAAATAATGCCTATGGAGTTTTAGTACTGTGTCAGGCATATTGTAAAAGCTGATAATATTACCTTATTATTATTGTAATTACTACATATTATTGTAGTTATACTGCATATCTTCATACTTTCATCCTCTTAGAGGAAGGAATCTTGCACTAATGCAGCAGCTAGAGTTGACTTTGAAAAGGACATTGGGCCTCCGTGTTTCCCTAAATATAAGATGAGATCAGCATCTGCTGTAGTAAAATTTGGATTTGAATGTGTGTAGGAGGGTGTACACTGTAGTTTGCTCCTGTCCTACCTGGCTCATGACGGCATCTAAGTTTGCTGCCTGTGGATGATGAGGTGATGACTAAAGGACTTCAAGTTCTAGAGCCCCGTGGCCTTCACCCACCACAGTGGGAAACAGGATAGTTGTGTGGAATGAAATTGAACAGTAATTTCTCTCCACCCCTAGTTTACTTGTTTATATTCAGCCCAAAGAAAGAATTATTAAGCAAATAATTGATCTGAGATGTGCAAAAAGTGATCCCCTAAACCCTAGAAGGAAGAAAAAAAATTGAAAAACAGTTATGATTTCAGATTTTTGAACAGTCACCAAAAAGTTGTACAGTATTTATTCTGTGGTGTTCTCTAGACATGGCTACCTTTGTCACCTGTTTCTGAGTTTCAGTGACTTGTACACTAGAGGTCTTTTTCCTTTTTTTCCTTTTTTAAAAATTGAGGCAAAATTCACATAACGTAAAATTAATCATCTTCTTTTTTGACATTGAAGTCTTTATTTTTTGTTTTGAATAGGTAATTACATTCATATGGTACAGTTAGCGGAACAATACAACAAGATACACATTGGGAAGACTCACTCCCACCCCTGCCCCCATCTACCTCATTCCATCTCACCCCACCTTTGGCAACAACTTTTATTAGTTTTTTGTATGTTCTTTCAGTGTTTCTTTATGCAGATGCTAACAAATAGGAATACAAAGTTTCCTCATTCATATTTTGTCTCTAGATCATACTGTTTTATTGTGTGGAGTCCTCCCTTGCTGGATCCAACTTTTTTGATTATGCATCTCCATCAGTTAAGAAAAAAAGTACATACTCCCAGTCTATGTCTATTTACAAACTATATAATAAAGCACTGTCAATCCTTGTAAACAGATTTACTGTCTTGTTGCTGTAGCTATAAAATAATTTTAAAGTAGAGGTTGTGGTCATTTCTGTGCTCAGTAGATCATCTTGGGCACCCTCAGAGGTATGTGCTCTCCACCCTGAAGGCTGTACTTTGAACCAGTTAATGGATACAGCAGCCTCGAGCACAGGGGCTACTGGGAAGTGGGTGTGAATGCACCAGTGTGCAGCGCGCAGTCAGCACCAGGCCAGAGTTACAGGAAGCTGAATTTAGAACAGAGCTGCTGTTTTCCTTCCCTCCTCTCCCCAAATCTCTTCTGAAAGTCTATCTACTGAATTTCTTCCAGGCTTTTGAGAAAGTATTATCATCTAAAATGCCTTACTTATTCTCTTAATCTGTACTTTAGGTTTTCATCTGTAAAATGAGAATAATTACGCACGGCGGGGAGACTTAAGTGAAGTGAAGTAATACATGTGAAACCACTGTCCAATCCAAACATACGGGGAATTATTTTTCCTGTTGTTATTATGTATGACCTGCGCATGTTTCTAGGCCAGAAAATGCTCTCTTTTTCTAGAAGAAATGGTTTCAAATAGATATGGCAGGGGGACTAGTTGGATGTGATACAAGAGCCACAGACACAGAGTTAACCGAAGGTAATGAACCTTGATTACAGTGGTTTTTGTGACTTTCCTGTCTTTTTAGAATCCCGATATAGTCAAGGCCAAGTTGATCTCTCGGATGGCTAAAATGGGCCAGGCCATGCTGCCCATCCTCCCACCACAGCTGGAGTCCAGTGATTCCGAAATGGAGGTGTGTTCCCCTGCCTGTGTTACGATGACAAGTGCAGAAGTTGCTGTCTTCTGTTCCTTTCATGGAAATTATTACTTTTCTGCCTCTAACCCAGAATCATTATTTAAGGGGTTTATATTCAAAATGATGCAGGTTGGTATTAACACACGTGTAGCAATTCTCCTGAGAAGTGGAAGCAATTTCCTACATCTACCACAAGAACTGGGCAGTTTTAAGTTTTAAGTAGGTAATTTAGCCTTCTACTGGAAACTCTGTTGCCAGTAAAGATCACTCTTGGGGCAGTATGATGCTCAAATCATAAAAGATGTTCGACTTGTATTCGTTAATTGAATGTTTAGGTCTTCTTGGAAAGTGTTGGTCTTCCCACTGATATTACCTGTTACTAAAGGTCACACTGTTGTGTCTTCAGTCATTGTATGTGGTATGGGGTTTTTTTGAAGTTCAAGAATTGCATTGTAACCAGGTCAGTTTTTTCCGTTATGCTTAGAAACTTTCGGATATAAACATCACATGTGTTTTTAAGAAATATTTATTATTTCATATTTAGATCTAAATTTTAATCCATCTTAAAATTGTTGCATAATATGAAGTAACAATTCTAACATAATTCTTTTCTGGTTAGTTAATATCTTGTTCAATGAAACCACCCTTTTTCAATCAAAATGCTTAATAGAGATTGAGTTTTTGGATTCTTTCACTTTGATGTAAAACATATAGCAAAGGTTGTACTCCTAAGAAGCATTTTTTCAAAATACTTTTATTTTTCACAATTTTGTTTTATCTCTTTTTGGAAAAGCTCTTAAGTAGATTTAACATTTAAAGCAAGGTGAGATTTCTATGGCCTGTTGTCATAGGATTGGTTTTTATCTGATCTCCAGAAATGAAATTTGGATAAGATCATATTCTTTTTTTTTTTTAATATTTATTTTAATCATTGTTCAAGGTCAGTTTTCTCCCTTTTACTCCCGCAAGATCACATTCTTTATTAAAAATTTTAAGTGCTACTTATTCTTTGTAGAACAATTTAAATTATTGAAAGAAGAAATATATTTAATAAACAGGGCATTCTTTTATATATATATTGCTCTGTGACCTGATTTTTAGACTCGATGTCATATCATGAACATTTTTGCCAGGAACATAAATAAGGTAAATAAATAAAGCATAGCATTATTACCTTTAAAGGCAACCCAGTGCTCTGTGATATTGATTTATCATAACTCCATTCACTGTGCTGTTAAACACTTAGGTTAGTTTAGAGCTGTGGTGATGTAGAGTGGGGTGCTTCTCCAGAAATGTGTAAGACGCGTCTGAGAGTGTCAGGGGCGAGAGGAGGCGTCGCAGTGAAAGGGTGTCTGAGCCTCGGCCCCTGAGCTGCAGCACAGCCGGTCACAGGCGCTGTGTACTGTGCCTCGGGTTTTCCTTTCCCTCCTGTGCGGAAGGGGGGCGTTTGTAAGATGGCTTTCTTTAGAGTTACAGTGGGGAGCAACATTGCTTTGATTTTTATGAAAAGAAAGACGGGGGGGAAAACACTAAAAATATATTATCCCAAAACATTATGGTAATGAAGTGCATGAATCCTACTCTGATTTTCATTGAGTACTTTGAAATGTACGGAGATTATTTGGCAGAAATGAAGAGCCTGGATTATCTCCTGGGTTTCCTTGCAAGGGAACCCACTTCTGTGGGGACATCTTACTTACGGTCACTGCTGTTTGGGTAAATGATACATTCTGGAGAGCAGTCACTTTAGCTGCTTCAAATAATAAAACCTGAACAACTTGGAATATTTGAAGAAATTATCTTTAACCGAGATGATTTACAAGGAGAAGGGGTCTTACAGTATTACATAATAGAGTGCTTCCTCCCAGCAGCCCGCGCCCTGAGCTCTTGCCGTCCTGCTTGCTTTCCCTTCCTCCTCTTTGCCGCGGAACCCTGTGTTGTAAGCAGGTTTCGGGTGGACAGTCAGCCTTAGTGGCTCACCCATAGTTAGGGGCTCACCCATAATAACCGAGAGGCTGGTGCCTGTTTCAGGAAGTGAACGCTCTGCGGGGAACTGGGCAGCCCGTGCCGAATCCACCTATCCAGCCCTCTCTTCAGCCTGCCCAGCCTCTGCTTCCACAGATGACCACACACGGTAAGGAAGCCCTCCAAGGCTCTGTGGCCTTGAATTGTGTCAGCACCAGAGTTACCATCACTATTCCTTAAATTGTTAGGCTGTATCATTTTAGTACTGAGAACTGGTCTAGGGTGTAAAACTTGTCAGTTTGTCCCTGGATAAGGCATTTTCAGACCTGGAGATGTCTTTGGTCTGCCTGCTATGTTGCATTACCAGTTTTGCAGATCTGTGTTCTGCTAATGAGATATCTCCCTTTATGTAATTCTGCACTTCCTGTCACCTGATGGGATTGTCCTTTTGGGTCACATGTACCCGAGAACACCCACTTTTGTTCTTTTGGCCCATTGCTGAGACTCCGGTAGAGTTGGTTTTAGGAGATTAGGTGAGGATTGTGGTGAAGTCTGAAGCCCGATAGTATGTAAGGTGCTACTCTGGACTCATGCAAGTAAGCATGGCTAACGGTGAAAACTTCTTGCTTCATCTTAGCACCTCAGCCATCTGTTACTGGGCTCCAAGCACCCTCTGCTGCCTTAATGCAAGTTGCATCTCTTGATTCCCACTCAGCTGTATCTGGAAATTCCCACTCCTTTCAGGTAACAACACTTTAAAACCATATCATTTATAAGGTATAATTTATTATAGTTCTAGTTATTCTCTTTTCTTCTTCCTCCACAATTTGTAGCAGCTCTCTACAGCCAGGGATTATAGTTTTTCCCCTTCCTGAACCACCACTATTTTATCCTTAAACCAGTCAAAGGATTATGTGCCTTATGGGTTGTTCTAAAGATTAAATGCAAGAACAAACAAAGCACGCGGTACAAAACCTGGCACACTGTCAAGGCCCATGCCACGTTTGTTTCCTTTCTTTTTCACACATATCTAGTTGAGGGGTATAAGTTTACATCTCCTTTGTTCTTGTCTTTCAAACAGCTGAGAGGTGAAGATTCTTCACTTCACTCAGCACAGTAGTTGTAGGGTAAGGGTGGAGGCTTCATAGAAAATACGGCTGGACTCTGGTGCCTAGTCTCCAAAAGTGATCCCCTAAAGTAGGTTTTTTCATTTTTAAAAAATATGTTTTTATTTATTTTTAGGGGGGGGAGGGAGGGAGAAAGAGAGGGAGAGAAACATTGATGTGTGAGAGATACGTAGATCAGTTGCCTCTCACACACTCGCAACTGGGGACCTGGCCCACAACCCAGGAATGTGTGCTGACTGGGAATCAAACTGGCGACCTTTTGGTTCACAGCCAGCACTTAGTTTTTTCAGTTTTTACAGAAGGCAGTGGCAGCAGCCTGTCTACCTCTGCTGACTGTTTGTCTGGATTGTGGACATTTTCTTCTGTCTCTGTGCATTTGATGCATAAGACATACTCCCAGTAGTAACAGGGCCTCACTTTCTTAGTGATTCTTAATGGAAGAATAGGAGTGATGGTGGGCAGGTTCTGTTCCATTAGGTTGGGGTGTATCAGTGTTGAAAAAAGTCCCACTTGCCCTCTCTTCACTCCTTGATGGAGAATTACCATCCTGTAGACTAAGATTTTTTAAATGTGTTATTAATGGGTAGTTATATCTGTCTCTGGAAATGAGCTGCATAGCTACATTTTTTTACTTCAAGGAAGAATAACCATCATCATTAAAGGGACAGCTGCTGTTTGTTCAGCATTTACTATCTGCCAGGCACTTAACAGGTGCTAGGAACTTTACATATGTTTCACTTCATTTACTTCACACAACAACCCTAAAAGGTGATGTTATTGTTTTCATTTTATAGTCGAGGTGAATGAGGCTCAGAGGGAAAGGAGAGCTCTTGGTTACATAGATGAGCATTAGAAACTAGCCAGGAAGAGGCCTCCTCTGGAACCTGGCAGTGGATTTGGTTTGGCATCTCAGTGCACACCTCTTCTTTTACCCCGATGGAAGGTCAGCAGAGTTGTCTTAGTGTTAACATTTCTTAGGCCATACGTAGGCCCTGTGGCTGGGGAATGAATTCCTGCTTAACTAAATTGTGTCTCCAGAGGACTGGAGACTGACCGGAGATACCCTACCCCCACTTTCTGGGCAGGGCTGCAGTGACCGGGTTACAAAGCTAATACTCCTGCTGCGGTTCTTACCTGATACCAAACCTTCATCTCATCCACCTGCAGCTTCAATAAGTTTGAGTGTCCTTCTGGCTTGTCTACTTTATTTCATCAAAGATAAATTAAGCAATAAAGAAAGACACAAATGTTTTATGAACTGACTCTTGGCGTTTTCTCAGCCCTATGCAGGTATGTCAGCCTATGCTTACCCCCAGGCGCCGGGCGTCACCTCCCAGCTGCAGCCCGCGCGGCCCTTGTACCCAGCACCGCTCTCCCAGGCTCCCCATTTTCAAGGTAGGGAGTGATCCCTTCAGTTTCTCGTCTTCTGCTCTTGCTGTGCTCTCCTTCCTCCCATCCCTGTTTCATGTTTACTCCAATTAGACCTCTGCCTTTTCTTTCTTACCTTTTTTCAAAGGTTTTATTTATTTATTGTTAGAGTGAGGGGCAGAGAGGGAGAAGGAGAGAAACATTAATGTGCAAGAGAAACATCTGATGCTTGCCTCTCGCACGCCCCCAACTGGGGAGCTGGCCCAAAACCCAAGTGTGTACTCTGACTGGGAATGGAACTGACAACCTTCCTTCTGGTTGCTGGGACAACGCCCTACCCACTGAACTACAGCAGTTAGGGCCTTATCTTTTTGTGAATAGCTTTCTTGAGATGTCATTTACATGCCTTATAGTTCATTCACTTGAAGTGTATGATTCAGTTATTTTTTAATAAGTGTAGAGAGTTGTGCAACCATCACCACAACCCAGTTTAAAACATTTCAACATCCTTCCTAAAAACCCTCATCTCACTTTCCTGGCTTTTGTTTCTTGCATTTTCTCACACCAGCTGTTTTTAATTTCTCTGCCAGAGTGGCTCTCTGAAGGTTATAGAAAATAGTAAAACATTGGAGGAGATCGGGAGAAAGCAGAATGACTATTTGTGGATGTTCAATATCTCAAATGAAAACTGATTTGTTAAAATTTTTAAATTATGAAAATAACATACTTTCATTAAAAAGTCAAACAACACAAAAGGGTGTAGAGAGGAAAGCTCTGTCCTCCATCATTAAAATCCCCTGACCATAGGGAACTGGTATTAACAGTTACTTGGGTAACTTTTTAGATCCCTCCTATGCATGTACACACGTGGTTGTCTTGTATATAGAACAAAACAAAATGAAACGTAGACAGCTGCAATTGTGCCCTCCCTTCTTGTTCTATAGTTTTAAAATTTTTAATTCTCATTCAACATGTTTGTTGATTTTAGAGAGAGGGGAATAAAAGAGAGAAACATTGACATGAGAGAGAAACATTGATCGGTTGTCTCTTGTACATGCCCCAACCAAGGACCAAACCTGCAATCTAGGCATGTGCCCTTACTGGGAATTGAACCGTGATCTTTTGGTTTATGGGATGATGCTCCAACCAACTGAGCCACACTGGTCAGGGCCTACAGCTTTGTCTTTTACATAATAATCACCTTTGTTATTAGGATAGTGGTAGGAGGAAGCAAGTATACTCTACAATGGGTTTCCCAGGTGCAACCTTTGTCTGGAAGCCCTGCCCCTGCTCTGTCTAGGAAACGATGAAATCCGTCATGTCTGTTACCATCACTCCCTCTTCTTCCTCCCAGACATGGTTGTGTATATATGTCACCAAGGAGTTAATCTTGCTTTTCTTTATGCTCCTTTTGTACCTTGTACATGGTCCTTTTTTTGCACTTAAAACACTATGGTAGTGATCTGTTTACATGTGAGTCTCTTCTCACCAGACTGAACTCACCAAAGGGCAGGAGCCATGCTTTATTCATTGCTGTATCCCTGGTTCCTGGTCCAGTGCCCGGCACACAGTCAGATGAATGGAGAAGCAATCTGAGCTGCTAGTGCTATGGCAGACCACAGTGGGCATACGTGTGCCCTTGGACCAGACTGTGTCCCCAATGCATTTTGCAGGAGCATAGCTTAGCTTTGGAGCCCTTTTGCTTCTGTCCGCTTGTGGGGTCAATGCTGATATGGCTCTCCTACCACCCATGAGGAGGGCTGGCCTGGGGGCCCTTAGCCAGAAAGAATGTGTATTGTTTGGGGAATGGATTGAACTCCCTCCTTATCTCCTTTTGGGAGCAGCATCTTGTCCTGTGATTGCGTCTTGAGCTTTTCTTCCTGCAGGTACACAGTGAGGTAATGTAGTTTAGAGTCATGTGTAGGACATGTGCCTCCTTTGTCTGCGACCCCTTATAATGAACCTCAGACTGGAGGGGGTGCGGTCCCTCTCTCATACTGACCCCCCCCATGCATTCCTCTGTAATGTGAGTAATAAACGGCGTGTCCACATCTGCTAGCCTTCTGGGTGGCTTTTTTTGGAATATCATGAACACTAAAGCAGCTGCCCTGTTTGGGGCTCCTGTGTTACAGTTGGCATCACGAACAGGATATTCCAGAAAATACCCATTTAGTAGACTGCATATGATAACATGCAGGGTAGGGGAGGCCAGGGGAGAATCCTGGAAACAGCAGGGGGGAATCCCAGGCTGGTGTGCGGGGGGGTGGGGGTGGGGGGCGAGGGGGCGCCCCCAACACTCGCGCTGGCCTGGTGAAAGACCTGTGTGGTGGGGGGAGAAAGAAGTAGCCGAAGCAAAAGTACAGACAGCACTCCTAGTATTTGGAAATGTTCACTTCCTTCTTTCCTCTGCTGAGAGAGCTGTTGGCTTTTCCTCATCTAGTGTCCTCTGCTCCAGTTTCGTAACTTTCTTTTTCACTTCTGTTTAGGATCTGGTGACATGGCTTCATTTCTCATGACTGAAGCCCGACAGCATAACACTGAAATTCGCATGGCAGTCAGCAAAGTGGCTGATAAAATGGATCATCTCATGACTAAGGTGACTGCATTAGGTTAGGGGTTATGTTGAAAGTGGGGACAAGCAGGGGATACAAATAGGGAGCAACCAGGGTTGTAGGTGAACTCTTCCTTGGTTTCCTGTATTCATAGTAGTTAGTAGTTATTTCCCTAGAAGGTAGTTATTGTTTTGGAATCCATTTAGCAGTAGAAAACCCTAGCTTACATTAGAGATTATCTCAAACTCATTAGCACCTTCAAAAAAGTGGCTCTGTGTTGGGTACATTATATTTCCCTATCCAAAAATTTCTGACAGAGGTCTTTCTGGCACCCTTTCGCTAGGTTGAAGAGTTACAGAAGCACAGTGCTGGCAATTCCCTGCTCATTCCTGGCGTCTCGGTTACAATGGAAACGAAGATGATCATGAGCAACATCCAGCGAATTATTCAGGTGAGAGCGATCGGGAACAGAACACTCAGCCCGGAGGTCTTGCCCTGCCCTCTCCCAAGATGCACTGCCCTTTAAACCTCCGCTCCGGAAGTGGAGAGCATGTAATAAGTGCTACACTGAGTTGGGAAATTTTGGAAAGTCGATTATGGCTTAACTCAGTCCCAGTGACTTACCACTATGTATTCAGGAGGAAACATTTCTTTTTGACTATGTTTCAGAATTTTGCTTCATTTTATAGCCATTTATGTGTTTAATCTATTGGACATAATGGTAAGGTATAAATTGATATGTTGTTTTAAGTATTATTTCTATATGGACATAGTTCTAGTTTTTTGTCTCAAAATATGTAACAGTGTCACTGTCCAAGTTGATTCCTGTTATCTGTTACTTTTCTCTTGAAAACTTAAGTTGAGCATCACACATTTTGAATTTAGGAGAATGAAAGGTTGAAGCAAGAGCTCCTTGAGAAGAGCAGCCGGATAGAAGAACAGAATGACAAGATCAGTGAACTGATCAAAAGAAATCAGAGGTAATAACAGACACGGGACATTGGCTAGGACAGAAGGGTTTAATCTGTAAATGCCCAAGTTAAATAAATGTCTGTTTAGGGCAGTTTATCTGCATTTCTTCTTTCTCTGTTTTCTGCCTGTCATGTAAACTATTGCTTGTTTTCGGAGAGGCATGTCAGCAGAAAGACCGCAGCTGGACTGTGTCTGAATCCCAGCTCTGCTCGTCTTTGTTTGTTACCTGGCTTTGGGCATCTCGTTTACTCCTGTTGGCCCTAGTTTCCTTGTCTGTAAAAGTAGTGTTAATACTTAGAACACTGGTATCAACTCTTCTCTCTTCTGTGTAGGCTGACCCTATTTAATCAACCAGAACTTCACTGATTTCTGTGTGAAACCCAAGCGTTTTGTAATTTTTCTACATCCTTTTGAAGATTTGGGGAGCGGAAATCAGGAGTACATATTGTAGCATATAGTATTTCACTTCGAAAAATCATTCTTCATGTTTCTCTTCTCCAGTGTCTCTTGTCTCTCATGTGGAAGGGGGGCAGGGAGTGGCTTCCTTTTCTTCCCTCCTTGCAGCCTTCTTACTCCAGTCTCTTGCCTTCTCATCCCCTCTCACCACACACCCTTCCAATTTCTCTCTTCTTCCTTGTGCTAGTTCAAAGCAGCTCACCTCCGGCCCAGGTTCCCGCCTCCGAACTGGGTTACTCCAGCTCTAAGGGAGACAAAATGCCTTCAGATTGTTTCCATGAAGGTATAGAGCAATGTTGTGAGGACTGAATGCACGTTGGGTTACACCTGGAGTGCATTTGGTGCTTGACAGATGTTTTATTTTTCCCTATTTATTCATAGGTATGTTGAGCAGAGTAACCTGATGATGGAGAAGAGGAACAACTCACTTCAAACAGCCACAGAAAACACACAGGCAAGAGTATTGCATGCTGAGCAAGAGAAGGTAAAGTAACTGGGGAGAGGAAAGCTCAGGATGTGTAGAGCTGAGGAGTGGTCCAATGTACGTACTTACATGTCTGCTTTTCAGCAGAACTGTTGCCGTCTTTGGGAAGAGAATGAGAAAAGTTTGAATAGATATTAATATGTCTATCATCCAGATATCTATTATGTAATATGCTTTGCAATAAATTGACTCAAATTATTACTGATCTTAATAATTTAAGGAAAGAATTATACACTTTAGGGTGTGAGGGTGATCTGTCTATGACATCTGTCACACCACTGATCTCCAGGGTTGACTCAGCTGACCTGGCTGATTAGGCAGGTGTCCCCTTCCTCCCTCACTGATCCATGTGTGTCCCTCCTGAAGCTGTGTGCTCAAAGAGGACGGCCTTCCCCGAAAGACCTTCCCCACTAGAGGAGAGGGCTGGCCTTTGGTCAAAGATACCCGAGGAGCTGCGCTCCCCTGCTGGAGCCTCCAGACAAGCTCTCAGGGTCCATTTGTGAGAGCACGTAGAGGAGTCAAGCTTGCAGGACTTCAGACACATCCAAATGAGGCACTGCACATGGCAGTCTGCCTTTCTTTACACAGTATAATTAAAATTCTTGTTTTTTAATAAAGAGTTATACAGCTTATTACAAGCTAAATTTATTCTGTTGACAAAAATAATAGAAAATTCCTGTTATGCCCTGTAACAAATGTTTTTAGTGAAATTTAGGATTTAGTTTGCTCCTCCATCCGTGTCTCCCAGAGCATTTTACAACACTGCTGTTTGACGGCAGGCAGTTCAGAATTAGGAATTAGGAGCTGTGGAGTAACAGTAAGGAAGACCCCAGTGGGCTCTGGGTTGGGATCCACTGATTCTGAAGCCCTTCCCCTGTCCTGGCTCCAGTGCCACCGTTTGTCCAGAATAGATGCCTTCTTGTTTGGGCTGCCACTCCTCGGCTGGGAGATCTCAGTCCTTCTGCTGTTTTCTCAGAGGTTTAAGGAATAGTTTATATTTTATATTTGAATTTTTTAAAAAACATGAAAAATTGAATGGCATTCACTTTATAACTTGTGGAATTTACTCACTTTTTCATATTCTGGTAATGATAATGATTTCTTACCGTATTTTGCCGTGTATAATGCATAAAGTTTTTTGGCCAAATTTTTTTGGGGAAAATGAGGATGTGCATTATACATGGGCAATACTAATTCCATATCTATATAAATGTTTTAAATTTTTATTTATGCTTGTGCATTAAAAGTATAACTCTACAAAGCAATAACACTATTCATAAGCAAAATAATACCCTGGAATACAATACTCGGTTTTGGTTCTAAATATAAATAAATAAATAATTGAATTGAAAAATTGAAACGAAAGGTTTTTTCCCTGAAAGTTTGGGCCAAAAACATGGGTGCGCATTATACACGGGAGAGCATTATACCTGGCAAAATACAGTGTGTCTCATGCTTTTTTCCTTTGTGTTCTCTTAGGCATAGTCTCCAGGTAAATAATATCTTTGAACCCATGTCCTCAGATCAGCAATGCCTTGCACTGCACAACCCTGTCCACTCCTTATTCTTTCCCATTGCTACTTTTCACCATGCCTGGGTTCTGTGTCTGACTCCTAATGCCTAGGTCAGTTCAGCCAGCAGCCTATGACATTGGTGACATTAAACAGTACTGGAGTCACCTCTCCACTCCCCACTCTTTACTGTTCCTCCTTCTGCTTTTATTTTCTCCCCTTCCCTTCCCTTCCCTTTCCTTCTTCTTTCTCTTCTTCCTCCTTCTCCTGCTCCTCTTCTTCCTCCTTTTCCTCCTCTTCCTTCCTCCTCCTCCTAACCCAAGGGTATTTTTTATATCCTAATAGGCCTTTCTGTGTATGGTTCTGAGATAAAAAGCTTTTGTGTGACCTTCAGCTCTGTGTGTCCTTCGGTGAGAGAGTGCTCACCTGTCCCACGGCCTCTCCTCCAGTGGCCGTGGCTGCTGCAGGGCTTGTGCAGGTGGTCCTCAGTCTGGTGTTACAGAGCTCACAAGCCACAGAGAGACACAGAGCTCTCTGAGCATTGTTTAAGTAAATGAATAAGTTTAAAACTGCCATAAGAAAGACAGGTGATAATAAGAAAGTAGACAGCTGTAAAATTGCATGTAAAGTACAATGGTATAAGAGCAGTAATGGCAGTAGCAATGTAATATAGTACAGGAGAGACAGTTCAACCTCATAAATATGTTGCTGCCCAAAAATGAAGCCTAGTCACCAGAAGAGCAGCCCCTTACTGCCTTTCCTGTTGCCTGCCTGCTCCCGATTTTTATAGGAATCAGTTCAGGTGAAATTAATGTGGTGTTTGTCATTTGTTTACCATTCCTTTTTATTGACATTCTTTTAATCATCATTTGCCTTATTGCCGTTATTACATAACATATAATTAGAGGGTTTTCCAGGGTAGCTATTTTGGTTTCATCAGATGTTACTTGAGAGTGTTTCCTAAGGACAGATGTCTGCAAGGGAATTCCTGAGTCAGAGACTTTGTACATTTTGGAGGCTTGACTTTGGTTCAATACAGGTTGAAGGTGGGCTTGGCTCTCTTCCTACAGTTCAGTCAGCCTAGAGTGTGTGAGGCCGGGTCATCAGTTAGAGACAAAGAACACCTGTGTTTAAAGTGACACTGTGCCTCGTTACTGTTCAGGCCAAGGTGACAGAGGAGTTGGCAGCAGCCACCGCACAGGTCTCTCACCTGCAGCTGAAGATGACCGCTCACCAAAAGAAAGAAACAGAGCTGCAGATGCAGCTGACGGAGAGCGTGAAGGAGACAGACCTCCTCAGGGGCCAGCTCACCAAACTGCAGGCCGAACTCTCAGGTACGTCCTTTGTGGAGAGGGCTGGGACTTGGACCATTTACACTTAAGGAATTAAACTCTTTCCTTCCTCTCAGTACATGTGGCTAATGCTCATGAAATTAGTGAAGACTGAGTCGAACATTAAGGTGGGCCAGTATAGACCTGCATGATGGTTTGATACAGAGGACAACAAAGGAACTGACTCTTTGTTTAGAGTTGAGCAGTGGCCATAGTTCCTCTTTGTTTGAGCAGGTTTGCCTTCGGTATCTTTGGGTTTATAGTTGGATTCATAGGCCTGGGCATTCAAGTTCCTCTCATGACACAGTGGAAGTTTGTGAAAGAAGTGCTTCCTGTACTGGTTGCTGCTTTCAGAGAGAATGGATTGCAGCTCTTCAGCCAGCACTCAGGGCCCCTTCAGCTTGGCTTGTGTCCCATCCTGTCCCGCAGTCCATCCCAGCTCTGGTCGTACCAGCCAGCCTGCTGCTGCTCTTCTGCACGTCTGTAGCTGTGGTCTTGCTTTTCGTCCATGCTGTTCTCTGGACTTGGCGTGCCTACTACCATCACCAGTATTTGTCTCCATTTCTTTCCATAATCTGCCTCTTTCAGAAGCTTTCCTTGTTTTTTTTCCCTACATTTGATCTTTAAAATTCTTTCTCTCAAACATTATTATGATCATTCTCACATGTTGCTTTTATCAGCACTATTTATATATATGTTTTCCCCTCTAGAGTGCAAGTCCCTGGGGGGCAAGGGTGGCATCTTGCTCATCTTTGTGAAGTTCTTTCCTCTAAATTAGTGTGAATTCAGGGCCTGGCACGAAGGTGGTGTTCAAGCCAGGGTGACCTGAATAGATTAGGAAGACCCACGTGTTGATTCATCCCACCTCAGTGTATAGAAACAAACATGGAAGGTGCAGGTGGGACCTGTGGGTGTGGCTGGAGCAGCAGCAGAGTTGGGAAGAAGCAAGGTTCACTGCCTGCTAGAGAGCTACAAAGCACTGATGTCCGTTGGTGCGGTGATCTCTTAAAGATAAATCCCTTTTCTTTTACAACATAGCCTGGGTGCATATGAGAGATAGGCTTAGATTTGAATGTCATACAGATATCCTCTCCTCTGTTCTTGTGGGGCCCCATGACAACTACCTTAAGAGTGCCATAGGGTCTCAAATGTTTTCCAAACAAAATAACTGTTGATGCATCACATGTTTAAGAGATATTCCAGGTAACTTTATTTGAGAAGGGATGTTTTGAAAGCAGACTCTTGGTAGAATGTCCCATCTACCAAGAAACTTGAGAATATCTTATCCAGGCAGTGAGAAAGGGCTGACCAATACCAACGAGATGTGTCCAGTGTGCTGCGATGGTGACTGCCATGGAACTATGGGAGTCATGTATTTTGAAGGTGGTTTCTGCTTGGAACCGTTCCACTGTATGTGTGGGAAGTGACATACACATACAGAGATAAATGTGGGTAGTGGGAGTCAGTTTATAGCTTGATGAACTATTGCTGATCAGTGAGGTGGTACTGAAAGAATTGAGAAGAAGATGCTTGTGTGGTAGGATTGGGAGATCACAGAATGCAGCTTTGAAGAAGCTTCTGGGATGTTGTATAGCTCGCTATCACTCTAGTTCTGCAGCTAATTCTCTCTGCTGTTTTATCCCAGAGCTCCAAGAAACCTCTGAGCAAGCACAGTCCAAGTTCAAAAGTGAAAAGCAAAACCGGAGACAACTGGAACTCAAGGTGACAGCCCTGGAGGAAGAGCTGACTGACCTTCGGGCCGAGAAGGAGTCTCTGGAAAAGGTAAGTTTTATAACTGAAGTTCCTTTGTTGAGCTCCAGTGGCCAGGATTAGCTGTTTAATATACATTTTTATTTTCCTTTTAAAAATTACAATAGTATACAAATAAGACAGAAAAGTATTGGGTTAGCCAAAAAGTCCATTATGTTTTTTCCTTACAATGGCTCTAGTAGCTCTTAGTTGTCTTTAACTTCATTTGAAACAATTTTGTTAGATTGTATTGTGACAGCTGTCATATCACATGCATTTAAAATAACTTAATCAAAATTGGTGAATTTTTGTGCAGCCACTTTAATATTGAAGATGGAAGAAAATACCCAACATTTTTGTCATATTATGCTTTATTATTTCAAGAAAGGTAAAAATGCAACTGAAATGCTAAAAAAGATTTGTGCAGTATTTGGAAGAGGTGCTATGACTGATCAAACATGTCAAAAGTGGTGTGAGAAGTTTCTTGATCAAATAATTCTTTGCTATTTTTACATTTTGGCCAAATAATTCTTTGCTGTGGGGCTGTCTTATGCATTGGAAGATGTACAGCAGCACCCCTGGCCTCTACTCATTAGAAGCTAATAACAGGAGATAGCTGACATACTCAAAACATCCAAACTAATAAAGTTATTGGTGGAAATGAAAAATGTGTCTTTTATTTTGTGAAAGAAACATAATGAACTTTTTGGCCAACCCAATGTAAAATAAAATACTTTTTTTTCACCCTGTCTAATCTCATGCGTTAGAAGTAACAACTATAACCCTGACTGCTGTGGCTCAGTGGTTGAGCACCAGCCTGTGAATCAAATTGTCACCGGTTCAATTCCCAGTCTAGGGCACATGCCTGGGTTGTGGACCAGGTCCCCAGTAGGGGGTGCACGAGAGGCAACCACACATTGATGTTTCTCTTCTTCTTTCTCCCTTTCCTTCTAAAAAATAAAATAAAATCTTTTTAAAAAGTGACAACTATAATGTGTGGTTTTTATCCTTCCAAATTGTTTTCTGTGTGTATAAAACATACATATACATAGCTACACTGATACTATTTTTTTGACAATAATGGGATCATGTTTGATGCTTTTTCACAACGTCATGGACATTGTACTGATAAGAACGAGAACCTCCTCGTTCTTTTTTAACTGCAGCATTGTAGTCTACTGTGAGGCTCTACCGTAATTTACTTAACTATTCACCTTTTGATGGATATTCATGTTTCTATTTTTGCACTATTTCAAGCATTGCTGCATTGGACATCCTTGTACTATGTAACTATTTTTGCAAGTTTATTTGAGCTTTCCCAGAACATGGATTGTTGGAATTAGAATTGTTGGGTCAGAGGAAATGCTACATATCTAAATTTTTTAAATAAACATTGCCCGGTTACCCTAAAGCAGCGTGTGCTGGCGTATCCTCCCAGCACCGTGCAAGCAAACCCATTTCCCATGCCTTTCCCAAATCTGCGCAAATCAGTTTTTCTGATCCTTATTGTCTGATGGGTGATGTGCTCTCGTTTTAATATGTATTTTTATTGGTAGTAAGGCTTTCATATATTTAATACCCATTTGTATTTCTTTTATGACTTATCTTTTTAATATTTTTTTGCCCTCTTTCCTATTGTAATATTAGTTTGATTTGTAAATTCTAGTAAAGGTATTCATCCTTTGCCAGTCATAGATGTCACAAATATATTTCTAGTTTTCTGTTTTTAAACTTTATTCATAGTATCTTTTGTTGTGTTAAAATTATAACATCAGGGTAATTTCAGCCCCACTGAATGAAGTGGGAATGTTTCTCTTTTTCTGTTTTCTGGAACAGTTTAAATATAGAAAGAACACACTGTTTCTGAGGTTTCATTAAAACTCTTTAGTAAAGTCCTTTTGGACTAGTGCCTTTTAGGGGATGCATCTTAGGCTACATTTATAGTTTCTTCTGTGATTTTATGAGATTTTTTTAAACCAATTTGTTCTGATTTTTTGGCTGTTTTCAGTTTTTTGTTATTATAGATCCTTATAAAACACTGTCTTTATGAACATGATTTATTACTTTCTTAAGATAAATTATAATTTGTATAATTTCTGGGTTTGTATATTTTGAAAGTCTTTTCATAGGACTGCCAAATTACCATCTAAAGAGAGTGTAACCAGCCTGGCTGGTATGGCTCAGTGGATCGAGTGCTGGTTGCGAACCAAAGGGTTGCTGGTTTGATTCCCAGTCAGGGCACATGCCTGGGTTGCAGGCCAGCTCCCCAATTGGGGGCATGCAAGAGGCAACCACACATTGATGTTTCTCTCCCTCCCTCTCTCCTTTCCCCTCTGCCTAAAAATAAATAAATAAAAATCATTTTTAAGGGATTATATAAATAAATACCCATTTATTTTCCTAACAGCAGAATGTGAAAATGTCTACTTCACTGTTAAGATATTCTCCACCTCTTAAATAGAATTGTAGTTAAAACTCTTCTTGTTTTCCTCCTTGTCACAATTTTTCTCAGCCAGGAGCCAAGAATGTTAAATATATAGGGAAAAGTAAGCTAAAAAAAATGCATTGTTTCCAAAAATGAAGAAAGGACCCAGTGAGGTCAGTCACTACCACCACCGTCTCCGTGTATCCTCTGTTAAAGAGCCAGAGCTGATGATGGTTCTCTTGTCCCTAAGAACCTCTCAGAAAGGAAAAAGAAGTCCGCTCAAGAGCGCTGTCAGGCTGAGGAGGAGATAGAGGAAATTCGCAAGTCACACCAGGAGGAATTGGACAAACTTCGGCAGCTTTTGAAAAAGGCGCGGGTGTCCACAGACCAAGCAGCCTCGGAGCAGGTAATGAGAAACTGAGCACTTGGAAGCAAAAGGAAGGCATGAAGGACTCAGGAAAGTTCCTAGTTTCTTCTTTAACCTTTATGGTAACATTTCACATGGTCAGTGCTCTCACTTTTGGAGAGAGGAGAGCACAATCTAAATATATGCAGAAGAGGCAGGATTCAAGTGGATAAGCTTTCCATTTTTAAAGCTTGGTGGAAATTTAACTATGTAAGTAAAACATGACAAAAAAAGTCTTTATAAAAAATTCCAAACATGATAACGCTAAAGTCCTCAACCACCAGATACCATGCTTCAGACCCATTACTGCCCCAAAGAGGGGTGGGGAGGACTGATTTATGTAATCAGGCGGAGAAAGCAGGGACGGTGGCAGGGCCCAGCTGGATCTCTAGTCCATCTGACAGTGACCTTTCCCCTCGTAAGTTCATAAATGCCTATTTGTTTGCTCAGGTAAGTAGAGTGAATTGAGACCCTCAGTTTGATCATCTCTGGGAATTTTGACAAAATTAAATTTTTTCTGACTCTGTAAAATCTAGGGCCTGGCCCTGAAAAGTAGGATCACATTACGGCCCTGCCCTCTGGGAACCTGTCTAGACAAGTCACACCTTTGTCTGGATGGAGCCTTTTGGAGTCCTGACAACTAATGACATCTTCCTTCTCACCTTAAAAAAGTACGTTTCCTTTCAAAGTAACCAAGGTCTTCCAAACAGTTGTTTCCCTGTGAAGTCGGGCTGTTAGCTTATGCTTTTTGCCTTATAAAAGATAGGCTTCTCTAGACGCAACTGGACCCCCAGGATGTGGCGATTACTTTTCTTGGCAGCTGTCTCTAGTACAGGCTGAGCTGCAGACCCAGTGGGAAGCAAAATGTGAACACCTGTTGGCCTCGGCCAAGGATGAGCACCTGCAACAGTATCAGGAGGTGTGTGCACAGAGAGATGCCAGCCAGCAGAAGCTGCTCCAGCTGCAGGAGAAGGTAGGCGTTTCCCTGGGGCCAGACAGTTCGGGCAGGGCAGCCCAGTTAATTTGAGGCAAGCAGATTGTCTGACGCTGTAAGTTCTTGTGAATGTAAAGATGCTAATAGCTTGAAAACAAAAGTCATGCTTGTTCAACTCTCCACAGTAATCTCCTACATATTTATTGGAGTGGCAGGTGAGTGACCTATAAAAGTAAAAAGCAGCACTAGTATTCTGGCACATGTTTTCCAGGACTATTTGATCCTTCCGTAAAAAAATTTTTTATGCATTTTATTTATTTATTAATCCTCACTCAGGGATATGTTTATTGATTTTTAGAGAGAGAGGCAGGGAGGGAGAGAGAGAGAAACATTGATCAGTTGCCTCCCATATGTGCCCCAACCGGGGATTGAACCCGGAACCTTTTGGTGTACGGGACGATGCTTCAGCCAACTGAGCCACTTGACCAGGGCAATCTTTCATTAAGCGAGTGTTTATTGCGTACCAGTCGTGTTCCAGACACCGTGTTAGGGAAAAGGCTTACAGAGAGCTCTGCCTGCAAGAGTCTCACAGTTGAGAAACAGAGACAAGAGAGCAACAAAGATGAGCATTAAGTTCTGTGAGGCCCGGAAGGGAGTGCCCGAGGGACAAGAGCCAAGAATGACAAGTGGCTTTGGGAGGGTGAAGAGGCAACAGAACATCCTGGAAAAAGGCACTGAGATAGGATGGAGCGTGGCTGTGGTGGGAGCCTCTTGGTATAAAAATAAGACAGACAGGCAGACAGAGGAGGTGGCTTAAGGTCAAGGTATGCCAGTCTCCATATCTTGGAGGTCAGTTTCTTTCCTTAAAGTATCCAGTTGAAAGTCTTTGACTCAGAGATGGTAAAGGCAGTCTGGTAAGGTTGCTTCTGATTTCCAGTGTTTATATGTCTATATGACTAGAGTTACAACGCCCTTTTTTCATTATATTCTTGACCTGATTAGGAACGAGGCAAGTGACCTTATTGAGAAAGAGGAGGACAAGGTGGGAGTGGGGACGGAGTGATGAGGAAACGGATGCTCTGAGTCAGCAGGCCCAGGGTGGGCGTGGAGGGTGTGGACACCAGCGGACCTGCACGAGGCTGACACTGAAGATGCTTAGGGCAGCTCTTCTGCTGCTTCCTGGCCTTCACCTGGCGGTCCAGGTGCCCGAGCCCACAGCCACAGTCTGTTTGTTTTGCAGTGTTCCGCCCTCCAGGCCCAGGTCACAGCCCTGACGGAGCAGAATGAACAGCACATCAAGGACCTGGAGAAAAACAAGTCCCAGATGTCTGGGGTTGAAGTTGCTGCCACTGACTCATCAGAGAAGGTGAGCCGGTCATTTGAAGAAGCAGCGAACCATGTCACTAGGCATTCAGAAAAAATGCGGCCCATTCGTTGTGTTGATTGCTTTTTTTCCCCCTAACTCTGGCGATACACCACTTGCCTGACTTAAGTACAGGTTAACCTTTGGAACGTGTCGTGGTGGTGGTAAACCCTGAGGGCTCTATCCCGAAGTTTTGACAAATGTGGGAAGGGCCTCTAAGTCACAGGAGAGGAGTGGGGAGCGTGCCCAGCATCTACTAGCCACGGACCCTGGGAGCCCACGGCAGCTCTCGTGATGGTCACGGTGGGAGGGCAGCAATAATACACGGCCCGTAAGCTGTCTCGGGCACACGTGCCGCAGCTTACCTGTCCTTGATGGCCTTCTGTCAAGTGTAGTCTGTCATTGGCATTGTCCTCTCCACGGTGCCCATCAGTGTCTACGTTCATGACCAGCTGTGTCCTGCTGTGGAGTTCTGAGAAAGCTTCATTGCAGCCTTCCAAAACCTTTTCTGGAATTTGTGTGCATCCCTTCGTCACTTGACTTGGCAGCATACGTTTTGATACTGCGTTTTTCTCTCCTCGCATCTCCACTCAGGTCAAGAAGATCATGAACCAGGTGTTCCACTCCCTGCGGGGCGAGTTTGAGCTGGAGGAGTCTTACAGTGGCAGGGCCGTTCTGGGGACTGTCATGAACACCATCAAGGTACAAGCCAGCTGTGTGCTGTTGCACTGAAATGGGGTCTTGTTTCTTAAGTGCTTTCTAAGGGGTGGTGAGTGAAAAATTACTCAAAACTGTGCATCAGTAATTCAGCAGCCTGGAATGACTTTATCCAGACAGATAGATATGGGCAGCCTCCTGAGGAAGGAAGAAGCAAAGGTGTTTGAGCTAGACGACTAGTTGGGTGAATGGGGTCTGAAGAACTGGGAGTGCCTGCTGTTTACCTCTCGGTGATCTCCTCCTCCTTGGCTTTTGAACAGTTGGTGACTCTTCAGCTGTTAAACCAACACCAGCAAGACAAGGGAGAGAGCAGCAATGAAGAAGAGGACGAAGACGAAGAAGAACAACAAGAAGAGCAGCAACCTCGGAGACCTTCCCAGAAGCAGTCAGTCTCAGCCAGTCCTGAGCCATCCCAAGTGCCCCTGAGCAGGGAGAGGCAGGAGTCCCCCATGGTGCTGTTGGAGCAGGTCGTCAAGGAAGCTGAGCCATTGCCTCCTGGGCCCCTCCACACCCCCCAGGAGGATGCACAGGGAAGGGAAGGAGAGCCCACAGAAGCAGAGGCACTCTCAGAGATGAGAGATGATTCCCTCCCTGCCGAACTGGCCTGCATCCCCTCCCAACGAGCTCTGGGACCCCCGACTTCAATCCCCCCTCTGCCTCCGAGCTGTGTAACGGTGGACTCTGAGTGTGAGGAGGCATTTGCTGCCAGCCCGTTGGGAAATGCCTGTGTTGAGGAGCAAGAAAGCTCCACAAAACTGTCCCTGACTTCAGACTCTAAGAAGGGGGACCCACTGCCCTTGGAGCCTGAAAGTTCAGGAGGAGAGCCTCAGCCTCCAGAGAGCCAGAAAGGGGAAGGTGCCGCTGGTTCCACTGGCCCCTCCGAGGCGCTGTCAAGCACAGAGGCAAGTTCTGCACCTGTAGGAGCAGCACTCGGACCCAGCCACTCTTCTCAGCGTTCCAGGTATGTCCCCTTGAGCAGAGTCAGGGACAAGGTGGCTGCCAGATTGGTTTTTCCAGTGCTGGCAACTCATCCTCCAGAGACCGAACGATGGACTAGCTCACTTATTCATTCCTTCATTCATACATGTATTTATGCAGCAATACCTACTATAAAAGGCTCTGTAGGCACCATGACAGTGTGGTGGGAAAAGCAGATTTGGTTCTTCAGTTAAGGAGCTTACAGTCTAGTGGGGGCTGTTATAAAAGTGTTATAAAAATATGATAAGTAGTCCTAGCTGGTGTGGCTCAGTGGATTGAGTGCTGGCCTGCGAACCGAAAGGTGCTGGTTCAATTCCCAGTTAGGGCACGTGCCTGGGTTGCAGGCCAGGTACCCAGCTGGGGGTGTGGGAGAGGAACCACACATTGATATTTCTCTTCCTCTTTTCCTCCCTTCCCTTCTTTCTCAAAATAAATAAATAAAATCTTTAAAAAATATGCGGTAAGTTTAAAAAAAACAAATGGTGTATAACAGAAAATAAAGGGAAGTTATTCTGCTTTAGATAGGGTGGTTAGGGACAGATTCTGGGAAGGTAACATCTACATGGAGACCCCAGGAATAGAAGGGGGACTTCCACGCCAAGAGCGGAAGAGATTTCAGAAGGTGGGAACAGCACAGGCAAAGACCCTGCGGCTGGAGGGGACACGACACAGTCAAGAAACAAGACACGTAGTAGGAGGACAGGGGTGTGAAGCTGATGTTGGAAAACTAGACGGGGCAAGTCATACGAGATTTTGTGTCACCGCTAGAAGTTTGGACTTTAAGTGCAGTGAAAAGCTATTAAAGGGGTTTAAGCAGAAGAGTGACTTGGTCTGACCTGTTAGTTTAAGAAGATCCGGCAGCCTGTAGGCTGTGGAGGGCGGCCAGGTGGGAGGCGCTCCAGGGCGGTCACCCCAGCTGCTGGGTTCTCACGCGGAGCCTGCGGGCGCTGCGGTCTGGCGCAGGAGCCTTTTCTGTGACTCGATTTCCTTGATTTTTTTTTTTTTCAGTCTTTCTGGAGATGAAGAGGATGAACTGTTTAAAGGGGCAACTCTGAAAGTTCCAAAGTTCAAAGCACAGTCTGAGGAGGAGGAGGATGAAGACGAGGTGGTAAGGAGATCCCAGGCACTGCTGAGTCCTCACGCCCCTGGCTGGGCGGCCTTCCCCACTGGCTCTGAGAGGAGAAGTGGAGTCTGCTGGTGGCCCGTGGCCTGGGCCCTGTGTGCAGGGCCCTGTGGGAGCAGGCTCGGGGCCGGGAGGGGGCAGCTCTGTAAGCACAGTGGGGATGGTCACATACCGCTGTGTTCTTGAAAAGGGACCGTGAGTTTTATTTTAAGGGAAGAAAGTTGGCCAGATTAGTCCTACATTAGAATGCTTAAGCCTCAGGTTTCCTCAGATTGTCTAGGATATTACTTATATTTTAGAGTTGGAAAGGACTTGGAAGATTGTCTTGTCTGGCATCCTTATTCGTAGTCAAAGACACTGAGGCTTGGACGGATGATTTATGAACCGAAAGCCACAGACAGACTTAATGGCAGAGCTAGGGCAAAACCCTCCAGCTCTTACTGTGACCACCTGTTTCCGAGCATTTTCTGCTCCCTCCACCTACTTTCCAGCCTGCTGCCTGGTTGGGTCCCCACAAGGTCCCTGCATAGGAAATGGGTTAGGTGCTGACGGCATAGCTGCGGTGTGTGAAGCTCCAGAGCGAAGGCCAGCGCAGCGAGTTGCTGCTGGAGCACGGAGCAAAGCCCCGGCCCTTGCATCTGCAGTTCCCAGCGTTCTTGGCTGTCACTAGGACGACACTTTGCTGTGACAGGAACTTCACTGGAGCAAAATGTGGATGTAGAGCACGGATCAGCTTCAGGCTCGATCTGCCCAAGGAATAGAAATACGAGTTACAAGCAGTATATCATTGGTATTGGTACAATTGACCATCAGGTTCATTTCTATTTCTTAGGGTGTTCTGTAAACTTAAGTACTTCACAGATGTTCTCATTTAACCCTCTACTAATCCAGTGAGGTCAGCACTTTTATCCCATTTTATAGAAAAGAGGACTGAGGCACAGGAAGGTTAAGTAACACACCCCGGGTTATATAGCTGGCTCAAGGTTATATAACTGGTAAATACAGAGCCAGAATTTCAGTGGGCACAAAACCAAAGCACTGAACCTCATTTTAAAATCCTGTACTGTCTGCCCTGGCCGGTGTGGCTCATTTGCTTGGATCATCGTGCCATATACCAAAAGGTTGCGTGTTCAATTTCTAGTCAAGGCAAATACCCAGGTTGCAGGTTCGATTCCCGGTCAGGGTGCATACGGGAATTCAGCCAATTGATCTTTCTCTTTCACATTGATGTTTCTCTCTCTCTCTCCCTCACCACCTACCCTTCTCTCTAAAATGAAAAAAAAAAAAGGCAATGAAAAAATGTTCTCTGGTGAGGATTAAAAAAAAATTGTATTGTCAGAGTTTAGAGATAACTTGACTGATGCCCAGAGACAGGTACAGGGTCCATTAGTTGGTGGTAGGGATGGGGTTAGCCCAGGCATCTCTGACTGTTTGGCTGGCCCTGTGAAGAAAGATCCTGGGCCAGAGTAGCTCACCAGAGCAGACAGTACCTTGGTAGAAAATACTCAGTTAATGCCTGTCTCCAGCATCCATCCCTGCTACCCTGTGGGACCTGTTCCCTGCCAATCCAGAAGACAAAGGCCAGGAGCCCAAGCCATGAAAATGGGGCGAGAGTCTCCTCCATGGCCGTAATCCCCCTCATCCTCCTCCTGGTTGGAGAGAGTGAGGGTAGGGCCAGTGGGCCCAGGGGAGTGGGAGGCTGTGGCCCTATGTTCTGGGCTGACTTCATCTCTTGGGATTCTCCACCTGCTAATGCGGCCAAACCTCTAAATTCAGCTCTCTCCAATGATGGGGCCATGTTCAGAGCCAGACAGGCCACCTTAGGCCACAGCGTTGTTTTTTTCAAATGTCATTGTACTCTTCCCAGCCTCCCTTCATCCTCCTGCATCCTCCCCTCCCTTAGGGCCGATCTGCTCTGCTTCTTTGTCCTCCTTCCCTCCCTCCCCCTCGACCCTCCTTTGTCCACATGAAATATGTAAGTTACTGCGTGAGAGGAAACCTGTCAAACCAACACATGTATTTCACAAATAAATGACACAATTAGCCAAAGTTGGTCTTCTTGTCTCTGTTGGAAGATTGCTTCCCTTCTCTGCCTGCTGTCTCAGCTTTGTCTGGACCCTTGGGTTTGCTGGCCTCAGGGTCAGTGCGTTCAGTAAAACCCTCATCAACCGCCTTCTTTCCAGCCTGGAGCTGGACAGGGTGTTGGCTCACTCCACCTTGCAGAGGCGGGAAGTCCTCTGGCGCAGGAACAAGTGAGGACTGACTGCTCTTTTCTGTTTTGTCAGAGCATGAAGGGACGCCCACCCCCAACACCCCTTTTCGAAGATGACGATGATGATGACATTGACTGGCTGGGATGAAGACCAGGAACCTGATGCAAAGGTTTCTCTGCTGACCCTGCCCCGAGCACGTTTTGCACAGCCAGCCCAGGTCTGGGTGAGCCCCAGGGAGAGGCAAAGGTGCGCGTTCTGAGGACAGGAGCCCAGGTACCTGAGCTAGCCAGCTTCTGAGCCCCCCACCTGGCCAGGGGGAGAGGAGCGCGGGCCTGTCCTCAGAACGCCGGGGTTGGCAGCGGCTGACCCTGGTCCTGCCTCGGAGTCCCATTTGGAGGAAGGGCTGGCAGTCTCCTCCCCGGTCATCACCTACGAGAGAGTCCTGCCCTCTTCCGAGCCCTTTCATCTCCTCCCCAACTCGGACTGCTGTGGGGAGGCCGCCTCCGTCTCCCAGCATTGGGGCCTGTCACCTGGGGTGAGGCCTCCCTGGTAGAACCGAGAGTGGACTACATTATCCAAACCCCCATTCAGTTAACAGCCTTGCCTGCAGTCCTGGCACATTACCTTTTCTCTGCCTTAAGTCTTTGAGATAAAAAAAATTAAAATAAATATCTATAATGAAACATGACTCAAACTCTTGGGGAGAAAGGACTTTGGTTCCCAGGGCTGTCTGCGCCCCTCTCTGGGAATCTGAGGGTAGGAGCGGTAACAGACCCGGGCCAGTTAACGTGCACAGACCATTGCGACGGGTTCCCTTTGGCACGTCACAGTGGCACCCTGGAACTTCAGGCCTCAGAACAAAATCAGCACTCTGCTGCCCCAGCTTGTCCCCGACACGTTAATTTAAGGCTTAGGACATCGTGGTTCTCTGAGGACCACTCCTGTCACCCACTTGCTCCCGCATGCCGGGCCCTATACCCTGGAAAGCCGCGCAGAGAAGGTAGGAGGGCCCTGCGTTCCGTCCGTCACAGCACCTGAGATTCTTCACCTGGAGAGCAGCTGCCATTCATTCCCTCTGACCTCGGGGCCAGGACTACTAAAGAAAACAGTAGTAGTATTTTTACTACTTCAGAGATCTTCCAGAGACCATTCAGTCTGCAAAAAGTAGAATCATTTTAGTAATGATGTTCCCGATTTTAAGTTTATAAGATAGGAACCTGAACTCCACTTTGTCTGCCTGACGTCACCCTCGGCAGTGACAGCTCTGAGCCTGTCCCCGCATGTGGGGCTGCGAGGCAGTGGGAGCTGCCATTTACAGAACTTCGTTGTTTAACAAACAGGCGCTGCCGCTGAGCACTTCACACACTGTCCCACCCCCAGCAGCCCTTGCAGAAGACACTGTCGTCCCCATTTAGAGGGGCAGCCTGGCCCTGCCGCTTATTAGGGTGGCGTTGTTTGACCTCCCAGTGCCTCAGCTGCTCCATCTCTAAGACAAGGACAGGAAGTTTCTACCTTGTTGTGAGAAGCGTATGAGTTAATATTGTACTGTGCTTAGAACACCGCCCAGAAGTGCTAATACTAGCTAGGTGTTGATTTACAAAATTTGTGTTGAAATGCCTCCCGAGTCTTAACCATGTAATCAGTGTCTCTATAGAGTGCATAGATTTTTTTCTAAAGCCCTTTGTTCTATAAAAAGCCTGAAATGTATCTCACACACACACACGCGTGACTGTCAAACTGAACAGGTGACAGAACACCCGAGGAGAGAGGAGTACCCGAGGGAGGACGCCCGAGGAGGTCGGGACATGAACGCAGGTGCTGGGGGCTCCATCAGTGAGACCACACAGGTCACTGGGAGTCTCGGACCTGTTGTGACTTTCAGCAGCTTTCCAATCCCCTGCCAGTGTGGAGAGTGTGCCGAGGGCCTCGCGTCCTCTACATTGTTACAGCTACTTCCGGCTATAAGTTAAAACTTAGTTTTGATCTATTTTTGCCTCTGCCCTCAGGGAAAGATAGGTGCTTATAATTATGCCAACATAGGTATTTGTAGCCCGTGTCAGTTATTTTTCTCGTGGCACCCGGTCACTTTTGTTACATGAACAGAAGAACGACTCTTGACTAGGCTGGCACTGTGGGCTGTCTGCCTGTGGGCACGGGGTTTTAGGGCCGGCGTCTCCCTGAGCACAGGGCTGTCTTCGTAGCAGACGGACGGACTCGGCCCCCAGAGAGCCCGCCAGCCAGCACCGCCAGCTCCTGCCGCCCACTTAGCTCCTGCCGCCCACTCAGCTCCTGCCGCCTACTCAGCTCCTGCCGTTGTTCCGTGTGCTTGCTGTTTGAAGAGAAACAGAAGACGGATCACACACTATTTAAAAATATATATTTATTAAAGTTATTTTTTTTAATTCCAAACGCTTAAGACCATCTTTCATCTAGCCCGTGAGGTATTCAAGCCTAGATGTTACAATACACAGAAGTGGTTTTTTGTTCCTCAGTCTCCTGTTGCCTTTTCTGGAAAGTGAAGAGGTTCGAGCATCTGAGAGTCCCATCTCTCTCCAAATGTAATGTTTTGGTTTGGCTGCTTATTGCATCTTCAGTCATGCCCCTCCCTCACCCGCCCCCCACCCTATGGCTTACTCGGTGTTTTAAGTGAATGAATCATATTTGTTATGGGTGAGCAACAAGTAATAAATAAAAAGCATTAAGTATCATTCAGTTCACTTCTGTTGTGCATAAAAGAAGGATCAGGATGAGAGGGGGCATTAAGGAGAGGCCCCAGACACCTGCAGCCAGGAGGCTGTCTCCTCCCACCCCACACCCCCCCTCCCCCGCAGTGTGCCCGACAGGAGGAGCTCACTCCCTGCTCCCTCCGCAGGAGTCTTGGCTGCAGTCATGCTTCTCTGCCTTTAATCTGCTGTCACTCACTCTCCCCCTGAAAAAAGGAAACCGGTCCCAACAAGTGCTGCCATCCATCGTGAATGAAATGATATAATTTAATTAAAATTTTTGTTTGTATTAATGTGCAAAGTTGCCAACCAAGAGGTCACTGGGGAAAAGTGAAAAATCTTAGTTTGTCAGCGTGATCCATAAAGAGAAGAAACAATTTTCCCATGTTCCAAAGGCAGAGGGTGAAAACAGGGACCCAGCTTGGCCTCTGTCCTCCAAAGACAGGAGAGGACAGGACGTGCAAGGGAAGACACTCTTCTAGGTAAGGCACAAGTCAGGAGAGCGGACGGTGGCCGGGCTCCGAGCCCTTTGCCCAGAACCTGTCTCCTGGTCTTGGAGATCTTTGGAAATTCTTAAGTTTTGAGTCACAGGTAAGTCAGCACAGGCTCGGCAATCCTGCCTCCGGGCTCTGTTCTCTCTGTTCTCCCGGAGAACTTTCTGTTAGTCACAGCAGCCCGCTAAGGCGCAAGACTAGCCCTGGGTGGGCTGTCTGAGGAGAGGTAGCTGCAGTGGCCTCTGAACTCCAGGGAGCAAGTGCTGGCTTCGGCTGAAAATTTCTAGGAGCTGGGAGGGAGGTGAGGACCATCCATCAGAAGAAAAAGGAGACTCGGGCCTGAAGTGCAATGACTGGAGGGGGCGCCCAGCTTTCACCAGTGCTCAGCGCCTGCACGGCCCTTGCCGGCTACTCTATGCTGAGAAGCGGGTAGGCGAGGTAGTAGCCCACAGCCGCGCCCAGGACCACGCCAAGGAAAATCCAGGTGTTGTAGGACATAACAGCCAGCATTACGAAGTAGCCGATGACCACCTGAACAATGTGGATTAGAGACAGGCCAAAGTGAGACAACCACCACCTAGATAAAAAGGAGAGACAAGTTAATGTTCGTAATAAGGTGAAAGCTAAGAGTTGGTGTCCGAAGTAGGAAGAGCAGCTGAGTTACAATACCACAGTTTCTTTTTAGAGACACATTAGAAACCACTAATAGGAGAAAGGAACTTGGACAAGGAGCCTAGGACAATTACTTCTCTACTCAGCTCTGAGCTTCCTGGCACCCTAGGCAAAAAGGGAAAATGACACATGCCTGATAGAGATGATACAAAATCATCAGTAAGGCAGACCCCACCCCTCCAATCTACTCTGGGAGGCAGTATTAGAATGGAACGAACATGGACTTGGGTGACAGATCAACTCCTAGTTCCATGTCTTAGCACAAGTGGCTTAAAATGTCATCAGTAAAACAGAAATAAGAATACCTCCCTTGGAGGATGGTGGTGACTATTTGAGACACCGATGTAAGGAGCAGGCGGGCTCAATATACACAACTGAGGTTGGAGAGAGGGCAGAATTGGGACCCCAAATGGTCGCCCTATCAGAATGGGAAGGGAAGAAAGGACACCGATGTGGATACAATGCTGAGAGCAATTCTGCCCATTTGTGTGGGGCCAGCCGCAGATCCCATCGTGGGTTTGGAAGTCTTAGTGACTTAGGGGAGGGCTGGGTGGACACCCTGTTGCTAGACGGAGGCCTGCACCAGAGTTCTGCAGATCTGAGCCTCCCAAGTGGCTGTTCCAAGAAGCAAGCTCTGGCCTGGGCATCAGGAGACTGAGCTCCTGTTCACCGCACTACTCACTAACGGTAAGCACTCTGACAAGCCCTGGTCCTTCCCGAGGCCTTAGTTCCCTTTCTGTGTCATAGGTGAATGCCCTTTGAGCCCGGTCTCCCTCTCAAGATGAATGTGAGCACTCTGCCCATCCCTCACCCTCACCCTCACCCCCGCACCCTGCGCCTGTTACCTGAGGCGCGGTCTGCTGACTGGGAGTGACTCTGAGCTTGAAGAATCCTGGTCTGTCCCCTCGAGCCGCTCGCTGGTGGAGGTGGGCATGTTCACCAGAGTCCAGTAGAGCAGTTTGGTCTTGGCAAACTTGATGCTTTCGTATAACATGGCCAACAGCAGGACCACCAACACCGAAACGGCAATGCCTGGCAAAGGAAGCTGAGTTGCGGTGACCTAGCAAGGCAAGCACTGCTCCCCTTCTGGCAGCTTCCCAGGGGGCCTGTCAGCACCTCCGCCCATTCCCTCTGAATGCATGCCACCTTCCTGTCTTGCAGTTTCTTCCCTACCTGCTCTGGGCTCAAAGCTCCTGCACTCTTCCCCCGTCAGCTCTTTCTTGGTAGGGCTGGCCCACTGCAGTGTGGCTCAGATTGGGAGGAGTAGCTGCCTGGAAAAGCCAGGGGCCAAACGTGCAGAGGCGCCACCACTGCACCCAGCTGCGCCCTCAGCAGGCGGCACAAGTCTCTGTCGGAACTGCTTGTTAAGGGAAGAGGGAGGTCCTGTTTATATGTGTATACACAGAAAAGTCTGAAAGGAAGGAATTATCTCAGCAAATTTGGATACAGGAGATTTTTATTTCCTTCTCACTTCATCTCCCAAAGTTTCACATGTCTATTACTTTCATAATGGAAAAACATTATTTTACCAAAAACATTAAGTACTTAACTAGAACTGCTGTGTAAGATCAACTGCTAATTGATACTTCTGTTGTATTGGGCTGGCCAAAAGGTCCGTAGGGTTTTTTCCATAAAAGACATTTTTTTCATTTTCACCAATAACTTTATCAATTTGGATATTTTGATCATGTCAGCTATCTCTTACTTTTGGCTTCTAGTGGGTAGAGGCCAGGGGTGCTGCTAAATATCTTCTGATACATAAGACAGCCCCACGGCAAAGAATTATTTGGCCAAAATGTCAATATTACAAGAAACCGCAAAACACTGTTGACACATTCAATCAGTCACAGCACCCTCTCCATACACTGTACAAATCTTTTTTTGCATTTCAGTTGCATTTTTACCTTTCTTGAAATCATAAAACATAATACGCTGAAAACGATGCCTTCCATCGTCAATATTAAAATGGCTGCACAAAAATTAGCCAATATGGATAAGTTTTTTTAAATGCACGTGGCTATGACAGCTGTCACAATACAATCTAACAAATTGTTTCAAATGAAGTTAAAGGCAACTAAGTGCTACTAGAGCCACTGTATGGAAAAAAATTAGGCAAACTTTTCAGCCAACCCAATACAAATGGAGGGATATTAAATGGTCCAGCTACAGTGTTTTATTGGGCTCCCAGGAGGACATCATCTGCAAAGGAGGCAGGTTTTTAAAATATAAAATTACAAGTAATTGAACACACGGTATGCATTCAAACAGTGCAGAAGGGTATGCAGTGAAAAGTACCGTATTTTGCTGGGTACAATGCACACCCACGTTTTTGAGCACATTACATTTGGGATTATTATGCCCATTATTACACCCATGGTATGGAATCATTATACCCATGTGTAATGTGCATCCTTATTTCTCCCCCAAAAATTTGGGCAAAAAAAGTGCACATTAAACATGGGAAAAATACAGTAAGTCTTTTTCCCAGACCAGCCTCCCAAACTGCAGCTCCCTCCCCAGAGCAGCCTCTGTTGGCAATTCCCTGAATAGACACGCAATATACAAGATGGGGCCAAGGTAGGTCTACCGTTCTTACAGAAAATCATACAATAATTAATAATAATATGAGAATAAACTGTGTCTGCATACTCACTTTATTCGCCTGAATAACAGCATCCTCTTTGTGCATACGCTTCCGCATCTACCTTCATCCACCTGGGTTCCCCTTAGTTCCCACACATCTACCTTACTTCTGTGGCTTCACAGCATCTGTGGTAAGCTGTATTTTCCACAGAGGGCCACCTCACTACACCCCACCCCACATGCTCTTCTTACAGTGTTAACACTCCCGCCAAGAAGTAATGGGGTTTGTGTTCTCTTCCTGTTAACCGGGACAGGCTTTTGTGGCTGCCTCAGTCAAAGAAGGTGGACGCGGTGCTCTGTGACTTCCCAGGCTAGGTCTTAAAATCCCATGCTCCTTCCCCTTGTTCTCCCGGGACACTCATTTGCTCTTGGAACCCAGCCACCCTGCCACGAAGCAGCCCAGGCCACAGAAGACACCATATGTAGGTGTTCAGACAATACCCCCACTGAGGTTCTAGCTAACAGCCAGCATCAGTGAGCAGACATAAGTGAGGAAGTCTTCAAGGTGACCCCCCTTCCAGCCACTGACCATACCTGCCTGTGAGACTTTGAGTGAGGACCACTTAGCGGAGCCCAATCAACTCAGAACCTTGAGAAGCAACAATAAAACAACGGCTGGTGTTTTAAGCCACTCAGTTTGTTCCACAATAGATTATGGGAATGGTAACTCATTGTAGGGATGACCATAATTTATTTGATCAGCACCTGCAATGAAGGGCATTCAGGCTGTTTCCAGTCTATTGCTAAGATTCAGTTATTTAAGCTGAAACAATTCTGCCTTTTCAAGTCAAAGGAATACCATTCTCTTTCAAACTGGTATCTCATTTCAGGCTTCAGGCTGCAGCAGCTGCTCTGGACTGCTCTGGACAGTGAACCCTGGATGAGGGAGGTGCTAGAGGCAACAGAAGGCCTTGATCCAGTTCTGGCTCTGACGTTCACTCCTTACTCGGTGTGTGACCCTGGATAAGTCTCTTCCCCTCTGTGGGCTTCAGGTCCTTCCCTGTAACGGAGGGAGAAGCTGCATCCCTGGCCTCTCTCTGGGTCGTTGTGAGGATCCGTGGGATAATGGGCCCCTTTGCAATCCGAAGAGCAGTGGCTGCAAAGTTCCCACTCAACATTTACGCAAGAGGAGTCAGGCTCACTTAGACGTCCACAGAGGGCACAAATAAAGGGAACCCAGGCCTCCCAATTCTTACCTGCAGGACTGTGGACACTCCAGAAATCAAACAGAAGCACCACCTTATCTGAGAAGATGAAATGCATCTGAAAGAGAAGGGAGTCTGTGTCACAGCGGGCTGAGGGCAGTGGATGCTGTGGTCCCTAATGGTCTCAAGCATCCTCTTCTAAAAGACCCAGAAAAATGGAGTCATTGGACTTACATGCTAGAAGGGCTGGTAGTGGCAATCGGGGCCCCCTGTGGCCAGACAGGGCAGGGACTTACTTGCCCTAGGTCCCGAAGGGGTCAACAGCACAGCTATAATTGAGTTAGCCCTGCCCCAGGTAAAAGTAGAGGTCGTGGGCAGGGTGGGGGTGGGGGCGGTGTCCATCATCATAGGGCCAGCCAGGCAACAGTGCTCTTAGAAACCAGGCTGAGATGCCTTTCGTGCCCTCCAAACGCAGTGGGGGAAGCACTGGGCTGACGACCAATGCCTCTGCTCACTCCCAGGGCCACACCACTCGGCTGCAGTGGTGTGTATCACGGAGAGGCCCAGGGGCACTGCCCTTGGTCTGGACTCCACATCAGAAATGGTGCCGGGAGAAGCAGTGAACATGCGATGCCTGATCGCTCTTCTCAGAGAGCGCCGGGTCCGCCTGCTGCTCTGGGAGGCATCAGGGGCTTTTCACGCATTATCTCATTTCACAGCAGTGTTCTGTGGGGCAGGGACAATTAGGCCCATCTCACAGAAAGGAAATATGGGGAAATTAAGGTCAGAAAAGTTAAGTCATTGGCTGAAGTTCACAAGGCTATTAAGTTGGCAGAGCTGGGATTCAAACCTGGGTCTCATTGGATGCCAAGCCAGGTGCATGCCAGTACACCAGGCTGCCTGTGCTATGGGATGGGAACTGGATGGTGATTCTGAATGGCCACATCGGGCTTACTGGCTGCGTGTGGCAAGATGAAAAGCCGGATGGATCAATTCAGTTCACCCTCTCAGGGAAGGGAAGTCCCCCTCTCATCACCAGAGGGCCTCGGCCAGAAGCAGCAGCTCTGCAAACACTGTCTGTGTTCATCACACTAAGGAGATCCTGGCTGGGTTGGGCCTTTGCCTTCTAAGACAACGGCCAAATATTAGAACCCTCCAACGTCAGAGCTGGCGGTATCTTCAGAGAGTTGTTTTTAAAGCTGATACATAATTGACATATATCATTATATTGTTCTGAGGTAGACACAGTGGTCTGATGGATGATGTATGCATTCCGAAACAATCACCACAGTACGAGTCTAGTTAACATTCATCACCACACCACACAGTTACAACAGTTTTTTCTTGAGATAATAACTTTAAGGTCTATTTTATTTATTTTCTCAGAGAGTTTTTAGTTCCCTGGTTTACAACTTTCTTCCAGGGAACACTGACAAATAAAATCTTCCTTGTAAGTCCACTACATAAAACACGGGACTCTGGGTGCGAAGGGAGAGAGGTCTGAGCTCTGCTGGAACTCAGCGTGGAAAACACCGATGTGGTCCAACGCCAGCCCCTCTCTGCCCGCCAGCCCCTCTCTGCCCGCATCCCACGTCCCGATGGAGAGAAGGAGTACCAAACGGGGACGGGGATTTGTTCAAGACCTCATAAGAAGAAAATGGAGAGGAGGGGAGTCAAGAAACACGTATAAAGGACCCACGGACAGAGCCAAAGGCAGGAAGGATGGAGGGTGGGAGGCGGGGTGGGTGGGGCAGGGGTGTGTGGTGGGGGGCAAGTGGAGACAACTGTATTTGAACAACAATAAAAATAAATCCGTAAATTCTAAATCTTCTCTAAAAGTGATGAATAAACTTGACCTGAGATGTAAAAGAAAAAAGGAAAAAGAAAATAGAAACCTAGGCAGTCTTAAAAATGAGGTTGAAGAATTTAAAAATAAAACTAGCTTTTTATCCCCCTAATATGAAAGTGGTACTTGTTCAGTGTAAAAAAACTGAAACGGTACCAAAAGAAAGTAAAACTAATTTGGAGTCCTATGCAGAGATACCCTTTGTTAAGATTTAAAAAGAGTGTTTGTTGACACGGAAAAATGTTCACAAAGAGATACGAAACAGACAGGCACAAATAATCCTGTGAAACTCCATTTATGCCGGAGCTGCACTCATTCAACCCAGCAGAAGCCCGAAACCATCTCTGCGGTGGGGTCAGCAGAAGCCCCTGGCTCCCACGGTCTCTGTGGTGGCGGTGGAGGAAGGTGCGGCCACATCACCTCCTCTCTGAGTTCACCTGATCTACCAGTTGGCATGACTGGAATGACCTCAATGGCCAGTTGATCAGCAAGTTTCCCTAACTGGGTTCCTTCTGTCATCCTTGGGGCTGGGCCAGCTACCTCAGGTGCCCCGCACCACTTCCTGTAGACCTGAATACCCACAAAACAGTCAAATCAATTCGACCAACAAACATTTACTTTTGCTGTGCTAGGGGTGCAGATGCTGGAGATAGAGATGAGGGAGACAAGCGCTTGGCCCTCATGAAGCTCACGGTCTGTTAGGGCAGGGGCCCCCAACCTCCCTCCTCCGGCCTGTGGATGCCCTCGCATTACCACCTGAGCTCCTCCTCCTGTGCCCCTACCCCCGCCCCAGTCCGTGGAAAATTTGCCTTCCACAAAACCGGTCCCTGGTGGCAAAGAGGCTAGGGACCAATGTATTAGGGGAGAGCACAGTGAACAGGTCATCACAACACGGTGTGAAAGGGAAGCACAGGGGAGGCCTTCGGCAGGGGTGGGAGGGGCTGCCTAAACCCACCGGGGAGGCAGGTGGCTAGCACATCTTCCGAAAGCAGGAAGAGCAGGTGGCAGGCAGGGGAAGACAGTCCAACAAGTTCCAAGCTGAAAGTGCCCACCCAGAGGGGCTGGCTCTAATTCACCTGGGGGTGAGGAGCTGGCAGGGGGACGACACAAAGCCTCACCTACTCTGGCCTTTTCACTGGAGTTGTTTCAAAGTAGCCCGCTCCGAGCAGGGGCTTCTGTGTTCAATTAATAGGCTCTGTGGTCAGATACCAAGGGGCAGGGCTCTAATCTTTCCTGTTTAGGATGAATCTCAGCCCCAAGCAGCTGAGTTTAACTTTTATCTGTGCTGTATTCAGGGCCCCACCCCGAGTAGGGACGGGCTGTGGTGAAACAGAGAGCAATCAGGGGACTTTTCGTCTCTATTTTCTCGTTTGGGGGGGCGTTACTTACACTTTGAGGAAAAACTCCCTCACATGTAAACCAAAGAGTTTAGGGGAGATTAAGGTGTCTGTTCTGGCTGGGACTGTCTGGGATGCTTGTGCTCAACTATTTCCCCTTTTAGAGGACCGGCAGCAGGCCGCGGCAGGGGGCGGGGGCGCTGGGTGGGGGGCTCTGACCAAGTGACCTGTATTGCCTTCCCATATCTTAAATTCATGGCATTCTTAATGGAGGAAGAAAATTACATGATTTTTTTTTCAAAGACCAAAGAGTCTTGTAAGCTGTGATTCTTTGCAGCCCAGGTGAACGTCACCAAGAAACAAAGTTTATCTGTAACGCTATTTCCAACCCAAGTGTAGGGAGGATGGAAAGTAGCTGGGTCTGGTAGTTGTCCCCGACGCGCCCCCGCCCCGGTCCCCCCTCCCGCTCCATATCAAACCACGAACTTGCCACGACAGGGAAGTTGCCCCAGGGAGTGTGCGTCCGGTAGCAGGCTGAAATGCACCGAGCTTCCCTCCTCTTCCTAGGAGCCTCCCCGGTGTTTTCACGAAGCACTGCGCCCTGGGCAGGGGGTTACTGGAGTGGCTTGTCTTCGCCTACTGCACCCCCACCCCGGGCTGCTACACAGCAGGTGCTCCGTAACTGCTCGTCCCGGCCGGACGACCCAGCAGGAGGGAGAAATAAACAGAAAACCCAACAGCCACCTCCAGCCCTAACTCTCGCCTCTCCCCAACCCTGTTCTTGCTGTTGACAATGCTTCCAACACACCCCCTTCACAAGCCCTCCGGCAGGGGCGGCGGGCACCCTGCGGGGCCGGCAGCTGCAGCTGGAGGGGCTCCGCCCGGGCCGCCTACCCGGCGTCCGCTTCGCTGCGCGGCGCCCAGACTCACCTCCATGGTGAGTGCGCGAGGGGTGCGCCAGGGACAGATCTGCCCGCTCGGGTCTCCAGGTTCCGACTCCTACAGTCGCTGCTGCGGTCTCGACCCGAGCCTGGCAGTCACGTGGTCGGGGCGCGGCGGGCGCACGGGCGCCTGGGAGTTGTGGTCCCACTGGCGCGCACTGACCGCCGAGCCCCAGGTCCCCGGCCGAGCGGTGCTGCGGGGCTGCCTCCAGCGTTCCGTTTGGCGCCTTACTGTTTTGCACTTGACTTGCCTTCGCAATTATCATAAAATATTTATGACTCCTTGTAATAAATTATGCGAAGCTTAACTCATGTTGAGTTGAAAATGGAGAAGTCCATCCTGTGGCGGTAATAGCAACAAATTACGGGTAAAGTAAAGGAATTATCTCCCAAGCTTTGAATGTAGCCATTTTTAAAAATCTGATTAGCAAAAAGCAACACACAATTGTAATTTAATTTGTAATTGTTTGATTGCTAGGGTGGTAAACTTTTTCTTATTGGTATTTCTATTTTTATGTATTGTCTGTCCATTTAATCCAGTTTGGAGGGTGGGGGACTTTCTGGGGAACGAGGGACTTGTAACAGTATTTAATCTTAAAATATATTCATTTAGTAAACCTTTGCCAGTCGTCCTATGAGGAAAGAGGCCCTTCAGAGAAACCTCACCGGAGACGGAACTAGCCAACCTTCAGCCTGGAACGTGAGTGACCTCAGTTCAAATCCTAAACCAGCGAGTGTTGGCTGTGAGACCTCAGGCTAACGGCTTTACGTTTGGGCCTCAGTGTTCTGGTCAGTAAAATGAAAAAAACAGAGTCTATGTTGTAGGAGGTTGTAAGGGTTAAATGAAGACTTGCGTGTTAAGTTCTCAGGACACAGGAAAGCCAGGACCTTGCCGTGTGTCTTGAGTCCTGTGGCGCGGGTGGTGCGGAGGAGGAATCTCTGGGGCAATAATCTGTTGCTCGGCATTAACTGGAGTAGAAAAATGGAAAGGATTTCCCTGCCAGGCAGGCTGATGGCAGGATCCACTGCAGCGGGTGCCCACAGGCAGGCAGCTGCAGCGGAGGGAGGCTCAGCGAGTCGGTCGGGCTTGTCTCGGGGTCCTGGCTTCTGGAGCGTCCTGCCCATTGAGCCCCAGGCATTGGGCCTCAGACTGAGCTGGCAGCGACTGACAGGCTTCTGCAGCACGAAGGGCTGAGGCTGCAAGGCCCTCAGGAGATGCTGCACAAACTCCTAGAGGGATTGATAAGACCAGACATGCGGCCCGTGCTGGGCTATCAGTCACAGGGGAACCCAGCCCAACCTTGCCCGCCCTGGGCATTGGAATGGACTCACGTATCATACCCCCGAGGCACGGAGGCCTGCTTGCACACCACGGACTTCTTTTATCCCTTGGTGGCATATCCCTACAGGAGGGGGTGCATAGCTTGTGCCAACGTGCTGGGTGACCTCTGTGCCGTGGATACCACTGAATGTGACAAGTTAATGTTACTCAGCATCTGCCAGACTGTGACTGAGGAGCAATGAGAAAAGATAACTTCCTCAGCAGAGGAAGAAGGGACTGCAGTGACTGTGGTAAACCCTCAGATTATTGTGGGTGGGGTTGCCACTGCTTTGTGTCCACCCGACGAATTCATCAAGCCTGACGGTGCAGTTGTAGGAGATGTGCCGGTGCTGACCAAGCCCTTAGGCACCCGAGTTTCTGTCAATGCCCACCAGTGACTGGATAATCCTGAAAGACGGAATGAAATAAAGATAGTGGTCTCCAGAAAAGAGGTAGAGCTGGCCTCTGAGGAAGGCTGTTCAATGTAACTACCCTAAACAGAACTGCCGCTGGGTTAATGCACACAGTTAATGCCCATGCAGCCGCAGGTAGCACAGGCTGTGGCATCCAGGACACTCTCAGAACCTTGCAAAGCAACAATGAATGTCCTTTGTCATTCCTAATCTGCCGATCATTGCCAGGATGATTGCCATCAGCAAGGCCAATGGGCACTTGGGGCTCCTTCAGGGAACCTCAGCAGAAACTTCTGGGAGATTACTGATTTGTTTGCAAAGGGAACAGGCTGCTGGCGTTTGTTCTGAAATCAAACCTTTCAGGCATGGAGAGGGTCACCAAGCATGGACTGTCGACATTGTGGAACAGGAAACCTGGACAGCCCGGATCGTTGACAAGCCTTGAGTTATTGAGGTCTTACCTCGTGGGGCCACTGCTGCTGCTCTCACTCCAGATAATTCCAGGGCCTCCTCGGAGCTTAGCTCACGAGATGGAATAGCAGGAACTGTTTGGACTGCAGAGCCTGTGTATATAACCACGGAGGGATGATTTTAAGAACAAAGTTACAAAGAAGGCAGCCTGCATAGGAGTTCCACAGCTGCCCTTCCTAGGTGATTTGAATCAGCCAACCATACACTGCACATTCCAAAGCCAAGAATGACATTTTTTTTACTCCAAGGGGGAGATTTGTTCAACTCGTGCACAGAAGAGGAGCAGAAAAACCTATCTCCTTTTTCCAAGAGTAAAATGAGGCTATTCCAGTTTGAGGGATTTTCCTTGGCACTGAATTCATTCATTTCTGCACAGGGAGTGGGGCTATTTATTAAAATGATATACGTACCAACAAAGCAGTTGGAAAAAATAATTTAGATCAGAAACAAATAAGTTCGGGCCAATACTGCTGAGAAACAAATTTTAAGAGAGATCTTACAATGCAACGTCACATTCTTTATTAGACTTTTCTGAAATACTGTCTCTTTCCTGCTCTGGACAGTAATTGAGCAGCTTGTCTAACTGGGGAGGGATTATCTGAAACCTCCTGATTCGATTCCTGTTCCTGATGTCTCTCCCTCGAAAACTCTTCAGGGACTGGGGGAGGCAGAGCATGTTCCAGAGCCGGGGCCTGCGTGGTCAATAGGATGTTAAATCTCGTGCTGACAATTCCTGGTGCTTTCATCAATCAAGTCACTTCTAGTGAAATCAATAAAAAGGACTTTGTTGAAAATTTTTTTTTTCAATTCTCAGCACGGAACCAGGCAGTGGGGCCTTGCTAAGTAAATGGTGGCGGTTTTCTTTAACAGCGGCTGCTGTTTTTGTCCTGGGAAGGAAAGCATCGAGCCACTTGCTGGAGGCACAGGGATTCTGAGAGTCTCAACCTGAAAGCCAGTGGGCGTCAGAGGGAAGTCAGGGACCAGGGGCAGTTCCAGGGAAGACTCCAGGCCTGGGGCACCGTGAGGAGGTCTGGGAGGGAGGTGTGGAGGAAGCCATGGGAAGAAGGGTTTTGGATTTCTTGAAGCATCTGGGCCCGAGAGCTTGAGAGGGATTTGATGATTTAGGTATAATATTTCACTCTCCGGGCCCCACCTGGGAAGTAGGAGTAAAAAGACTTGACCTTCACATAAGTAGCAGGCTCTTGTGCATTCCCCAACCCCCACCCCTGATTAAAGGATTTGTAACACAGCTTTCCTCCTATGACTGTTTTCCTTGGCTTTGTCACAATCTGATGACTTTCACACTTAGTTCTAACTTCCTCAAGTGTGTTATGGTTTTAACACTTAGCCCTCAAGTTTGAAAGTGTCCCTGCTCTTTCTGAGCCACTGGAGACTCCGCCCCTCCAGCCCCCGAGCAGAGAACGGGAGCCAACGGTAGAATTCCTGCTCCTGAAGTCACACCACAGCCGGCCAACCTTGGTCGGTGGTGAGAGATACTTTCTGGGTTTTATATTTTGATAGCTGTGGATGCCCTTCTCCTTGGGAACAACAGAGCCGGCCCTGTGCCTCCGGCACACACCTGGACCCCCCCGCCCCCCCAGCAAGTCCACAGGCAGGAAAGATGGCGTTGCCTCGGGTGTCACCGAGATGGGCAAGGGGCCCTTTAACTGGGGCGCTGCGCTCGTTCAGGGTCACGTGGTGGAGGGGCAATCCAGTCATTTCTCCTTCCGAGGCGCTCAGTAGAGGAACTTGAGGTCTCACGAAAAGACCACATGCATGAAGTGTTATTGCTGTAGAATATCGTGCAGCATGGCCTTGATACACAAATCAAGCTCTGTGACCCTCAAGGGTGCCCCCCTCTCTCTCTCTGGGCCTCCATGAAGGGTTTCCAGAATGGATGACTTCTAACTGCTCCTTTTCATGCCATTGATCCGCAGTTATAAGTGAGCTTGAAGTTGGAGTTGAACTCTTCCTGGCTAAGACTTTTGCGTATTTTCCATGTTGCGCCATTTAGCTGACCTTCCGGGTTCTCCCACAAACCTCGATCATTTTGTATTAAAATATGAGGAGCATCATGTTGCTGTATGTGGCACGGGGAGTGTGTGTACGTTTGAGGTTGGTCGGAGTGTGGAGACAGAGCAGAACATGTATGTGGTAGATTTGTGCTGGAGAAGCTGGAGAAGCTGGAGCAGGCTCTAACCCACCCAAAGGCCGTGTGCAGGGTCGCCTCCACCAGAGGTGGGGATCGACCCCAGAGGAAATAGATCCCCTGGGTCTTAAGTTCAAGCCCTTAACCACTCGGCCATTCTGATTAAGCCCTTAACCACTCAGCCATTCTCAATCAGAATGGCTGAGTGGTTAAGGGCGTGTTCAAAGCCAGGAATTTATTTTGGGGACAAAGAAGAGTCACCAAAGGGCTTTTCATGTAAGGTTTTCTCCCTGGATGTTCCCTTTCCTCTCCCCAATGGCGCTGTGTTGGTGAGCCCTCCCCTGCCCTCCCTGTTTAAGACTGCGGTCCCCTTTGCATTCTTTGCCCTGCCTACTCCGCTTTACTGTTTTTTTTTCCATTGTACTTACCACCTGGTAGCCTACTGTTCCATCTGGTTATTCATTATTCCTTTCTTGCCATTCAAATGGAAGTTCAAGGAGAACAGGGAACTCTGTGTTTTTGTCGAGGAAGGCACCCCCAGTCCCCAACATAGTTCACGTCTCGTCTCGAAGCAGACTGTCAATAAACATTTGTTACATGAATGAATCAGTCCCAGGGGGCAGATGCTGTCTGCTTCATTGCTTCAGGGGAAGGGAGTGTCAGAAACAGAAACAGCTTCTGAGATGGGATGGTTTTGTTTTTCGTGAGAGTTGCGGAGGGTTTGGGGTGATCTGCGGCAGGAATGAGAA